TACATTAATGGTCGAAAGTTGGTGGTATGTTCCTTAAGGATTCCTAGTTTTGTCTGTGTGTATGTGTGTGTATAGAGCAGTGGTTCTCAAAGTGGGGGGCGCAGAGGCATGACAGGGGGGGCGCGAGAGACCAGGAGAAAAAAAATGGTTATTTAAAAAAAAAAAAAATCATAATAAAAAAAATAATGGATTTGAAAATAATATGATACAGTACAGTACTATTACGTCTGGGTCTCTGTGTTTCATTAAGCTTCCGGTGCTAGCGAGCTACGCTAACGGATAAGGAGTTTTCTCAACAACAAGGTGGAAGAGAGTCCTCTCCTGTCAGACTGAGAGGCTCAGTGAGCTAAAGGACTCTCTCAGTGTTTAGATAGTTAACTTTAGTCTAAGTTATCTCAGTGGGTCTCAAACGTTTTGGTCACGATTAATGTAAACAATTATTTCCGAGGCACACGTTTATATGATCATTATAGTTATAAAAAAATAAGAGAATAAATAAAAAACAGGTATGAAATACTATATGACAGTAAAAAAAGAATAAAGTTTAAAAGGGTGATTTTGTAAAATATCCATAAAGAAAAAGTAAATCTGTTTACAGTTCTGTTTCATCTGGGTGTTGAGAGAGGTATCCATAGATCTCTTCATTTTGCTCTCAACGTGCACCAGATTGATGCTTTTAACTTCAATATTTAAAAATAAATCGACTTTTTTTTTCCTCCAAAGGGGGGTCCTGACAGAAAAAGTTTGAGAACCACTGGTATAGAGGTTAGTTACAGGATCATCTCCTACCGTCAATGAGGTGTGAACCCCAGACTTCTCACGTCCCCCAACCCCCCATTTACACCAGCCCAGGTGTTAAAGCCCCCACTGAGGTGACACTTATCACTGGTCTGGGAAAGGGCTGCTCTGCAACAACACACACACACACACACACACACACACACACACACACACACACACACACACACACACACACACACACACACACACACACACACACACACACACACACACACACACACACACACACACACACACACACACACACAGACGCTGATACTAGGGGATGACTCAGGTTGGAAAAAGTATTTCCTTCTCACCAGATATTAAGGTCTATAGATTATCAGGCCGAGACAAGATTGATAAACATGTGTTTTCTTGATGACGCAGGACCTTTGCAACCATGAGATGAGATTGTGGGTTCCACTAGCCCAGTGATTCCCACCCAGGGGTACTTGCGCTTGTATATACTTGTAATAGTCCTCAAATAGGAATTATGATTTGATTCAAATAATAAATCACCTAATCATGTTGCATTTATTTAGGAATGTGTAAAGAACTATAGGAAGCAAGCACAGGTATAAATAGGTAAATGGTAGTTAAATGTTAGAAATAAATATCAAAAAGTATCAAAAAAGTGCTGCACAAACAGTTCAAATGAATAGCTCTTAGCATTAAAACATTGCTGACCAAACTAAATATAGACAGTTCTGCAGTATGCAATGGTAACAGCTGCCACTATTTTGTCAAATAAAGCGATATATATATATATATATTTGAAACATGCGTTGGCAATTGAGGAAGGATTAAGTGAGTTCATCTGACAAGGCTGAAGGGTTACCTCAGACCAAAAAGGATGGGAACCACTATTCACTGATCTACATTATCTCACTCAGCTTGTCTCAGATACTCACACAGGCAAAAACACTTACTCACAGATTTATCTACGACTACCTGCCTGGTGTCTGTTTTTAGGCTGTGTATCTTGCTCTATCCTCTCTGCTCCTTTCCTCTGAAGATAAATATGTCACTCAAGCTGCAGACGATGTGTGTGTGTGGGGATGACCGACTGTGGAGACAATTTGGGAAGTTGAGTCACCCACTAAGGTCAGATAACACAGCAGACAGACAGACACATCAGCATTAAGAACACAAAACAAAACCATTGATTATTTTGCCTGTTTGGCACGCTTAACAAATGCGTGCAACAGGACATAGAGGATAGTACATAAACATTTGTGGAGGACAGTAGCCAAATGGTTGCAGAGACGACCTCTGGACCAGTGGGTCAGTGGTTCAAATTCCTGAAACAGTGTGGCAGGGAAAGTGGCTGAGTCACAACAACTGCCGTCAAATGCTGCAGAGCAACATACACCCAGTCATTGCGATGGTTAGCTGTCTGAACTTTTTCTGTTTGAATAAGAATGCACTCGTCATGCTGTTGCTGCTATCAAGCCTGGACCGATAAATGCACTTTAGAAAACTGTATACAACTTATTTTGTCACTCACACTTAAAATATAATTTCCACATATGAATCAAAGTATACAGTGCTTTATATTTGTACTGTATTTTAATTTATCTCATTACACGTGTAATCATTGTGGATAAAAGTGTCACTTACTCTTAGACTCAATCATCTTTCATCATATACATAGTGCTATATTTTTACATTTATGTCTCACACCTTATTGTATTGTTTTTCAGCTAACAGAATGCACCTAACATAAATCATGCAGCTTTCATTTACTGATGCAGACAAATAGCTTTTCTGATGAGCTCTCAAGTCGTTGGAAAACTCGCTGCTGCAGCTGAAGGAAGACGAATGCTCCGCTGCTCTCTTGTGGTTCCCTTCTGTCTGCTGACTGTCTGCCACGATCACGTAAGACGCTGATCGGCTGAAATGGTAATGCATTCGTGGTTTAGATGCCTAATATGCCAACAGTCTAAATCAAAGAGGAATCTACCTACCTCCCAATGAATTAGACATATTTGAAAGCAGACTTTTAAACACACAGAGCTGGAAATATTTCTCAGTAAAATAAGTTATTTTGTAAGCATTTCTAATGTTAGGAAGAAAGCCAGTGTTTTCTGGTGTTGCACAAGGTTTAACTGTTCATCTCTTGTTACAGAATGTTCTACATGTTTATTCCTGTGGTTATTAAAACGTTCTAATAGTGGTTTTGTCAGCCTTTATTGCAGGGTCCCCATCAAATGGTAATCCTCAAAATACTTGCGACCCCTAAGAGTGTTGTCGGTTTTTCATGTGAAGTAACATATTACATCAGCAGAGATCTCTGAGGATGAGCCTTTCTGCACATAAAGCATGAACAAGGTAAGCCAGGATGAACTTGCAACACAAATGGCATCTCTGCATGTTTATCAGTCCAGATTGAATAAAACTGCTGACCAACTCTTAGGATGTCTATATAATTTGTGTTTCCCTTTAAATGGAGGTGTCTTGACTTTTTGGATCCCAATAATAACAGGTTGCCAACTCATGTGGCCCCTGTGTAAGTAGTCTAGTCAGTTGTACTGTAATTGTCACTGTAACTGGGTGTGCCATCTCTTGTGATAATAGTTGATGTCCTGATAATTGGTGTTATCCATTGTGCTGTCCCTGTAATCTGTACTGTCCCACATGAGCAATCTGCAAGGTGACACTTACTGCAGTCCAACAGAGACCATGTTTGATCTGTCGATACTCACCATCGAGGCCTTGACATGTAAATGCAATTTGATGCAGAGTATTCATGACACCTGACTGGAGTCTTCATGTGGTTACCATTAAACAACTATTTAAATCAGCCTCTATTTAAATGATTGCCTTTGATAATCATACATGATCACAAACCAAAAGTTCCCAACCTCAGTGTAATAAACACAAACACCTAAACACATTTAAAAGACAACACAAAAGAGTAAGCCTACATACAATAGACATCAAAGCAAGTCCATTTATATTTTTTATAAGACAGACAATTTTAGGAGTGTCTTGGATACCAAAAGCTGCATACCACATTAAATGATTTATTGTGATGTTTTGGCAAACAATTGGATTTTTTTTTCAAGGGCAGTTTCTTTATATAGACATAACATTCACTTAAAAAAGCCATTCACATCCTGATAGCAATTATGTTAATTATGAAGTTTTGACCAAAATCAACACTTCTGGTGTGTGCTGCTCACCATTATGTTTCAGTAGCATAGATACAAATATGTTTAAGTCCAAAAAACAAACATAGCGAGGAAGAATAAAATACTATTCTCCAAAATTATGGACAATACAACCCAGCCACATGATTTCTAGTCTCTTTCGTTTCTTTAAAGAAGACGCTCATTAAAATTATTAATTAATTAATTTTTATTTCTAGGACTGTATTGTGTATGTCCTTAAAGCCAACCCATATCTTTATTTATTGAACTATATCAACTGTTCACTCAGTCAACACATGCAAGAATAGGCAGGCCTTGAGGTGAAAAGAAAAAGAGCAAGTGCGCCATCTAGTGAAGGCAGGCAGAGAGCACAGTGCAGTTCTTAAAAATGAAGGATGAGTAACAATTAATTTAAGAGATGCAACCTTTTGTAGCGACTATCAGGATCTAGTCTTGTGAATATGTATATGTTGTTGACACCATACTCTACCCTGCTGTTCATATATATATATATCTTATTTACTTTTAGTTTATCATGCAGCACATCATGCACTTTTTTGGGGGGACAGTATTTTTGTTAAATGTATGTCAGATAAGCTTATATTTTGAAATGTTCCTATATGCTAGTTTTAACGTTATGTTTGTTTGAATGTATAGTTTCTTAATGATTAGACGTGGAGAGCTGAACGTAAGTATTTAATTGTACAGTACAACTGCCTGTTATGTATATTTGAAAATAAAACATCTTGAAAGTAGATTCTGATATTATTTTAAAATGTCCAACAAAGAAAATAGCCAGTTTGAGCCAGTTGTGTTTATGTAAAGGTCATTTGATGTGTGCAATGGATTTTATCTGCATTGAAAATGTTTTGATGTTTAAAGAGAAGAACACAATTATATTTGTGGAACAATTTTTTCTGGCTCCGTCCATTTTTAGGATAATCTGCAAAACATTAAATGTTATTGTAATGCCAATTGTTTTTCAATGATTCCTATCAAGAAGATGTCAAAAACAAAACTTTTATTTTGAATTTATGAAGCTTCGCATTCCTTCTTCCAGCTTGAACCAGGCGATGAAGACGAACCTCGCGCGTCGTCGCTCGACGAAATGACTTCGCCATGAAGTAAAATAAGCAGAAAACAAAAATGAACATCGTAGAGCAGAAACTAGCGGAATTGGTACGTGAACATCCGAATCTGTACGATCAATCCCGGCAGGACTACAAAGACAATCTGAAGGGGCATCTGTCATGGAAAGAAATCTCGGACAACATGGGAAAGTCTGAGGAGGCGGTGAAGCAGAAATGGAAAAATCTACGCGACAAGTTCTGCAAGGCGAAGAAGCGAATGGCGAGGAGAAGCTCGCCTCTGCCGACAGACGAAGAGATCCCGCTGGACCGGGCCGTCCCGGTGCTGTACCACCAGCTGGCCTGGCTCAGCTCGTATGTCAAACCCAGGGTAGAAACTGTCCCGGGAGAAACCGACGGGGTATGTTCGCCTGACTGTCATTCATTGATTTAAAATGCATCCCTGATATTAAAACACTAGCTCGGAGCAGCGGCGCAGCGCCTATATGGCGCTGGCTCGGAGATATAGCTAGAATCAGATTAGCCTATGATACACAGGTAGACGTATAAAGCTAACTATATTCATGTGTGCACAAGCTAATAACATCCAGGGTGAGCGAACAGTCTGCCTCTAGTATCCAGGTTTACTTTTCAAAATAAAAGCCTTCTCTGCGTACTTTTTAGTGTCCCAGGGAAGTGTAAAGTGTGTTTCAAACAATTGTATGTCAAATGTAATATTGCTTACTGCAATTTTCTATTCATATTGCTGGTATATTTGTAAAGGAGAAATGTGTGTCAAAATACCATTTAAAAATAGGCTATTGGCCATGTTTTCTAATTGATTTGTACTGCTCAAATGATAACCCACTTACTTAAGATAATCCACAAACCAAGTTGTGATGCGTTTCATGTAGTAACATCTTTCTGATTTCCTTGGCATTTTTGTACTGAATTTTTATATTTTAGCTTATATATTGTCCTCTAATATCTGCCTGCCGATTAAACAGTAAACACAGTACATGTATGGAAGCAAACAAGAGACAGAAGTATTTGAATTGTATTAGACACCGAATTTATAGCATTGAAAATAATTACTTTGAAAATCATGTATCTGAATGTTTTTGCTCCGAATTTACCTATGTGAAATAAAAATGTAAAAATTCAAGTGAAAAAAATTCGAATGTTCAAATTCAGATCCCAAAAATTAAAGTGAAAAAAATTCGACGTCAAAAAATTCGGTGTATAAAATTCGATGTCCAAAATTGCGATGCAGCATCATCCGGGCTACTCAGACAGGATAAGCAATCGAGCCCTAATGCAATCAAACCGACTTCTGGCCTATCAGAGCACGGCTTTGTCCGTCATGTGATCACAACAACCTGGGAGAAAAATGACGGAGAACAGCGGGGCTCGCCGCTCGGGTAAGTTTGTGCTCTTTATTTTACAAGCAGTGAGGGCTCGACAGCATTTGTATCTTACATTAGCTAGCTAAATGAGTGAAGTAGCCTTGTGCCTTGCTGTTAGCAAGCTCCGTAGTTATCATTAATTGAAGTGAATCACAACGTTACCCTGTCCTTTGTGTGTGTGTGTGTGTGGTGGGGGGGGGGTGACGGTTTGCAAAGTAACGTAACGATCACTTCGGTTAGATAAGTCAAGTAGTAGACCATGCTACACTATACGGAATACTCTCTTACAAAAGCCTTGCATTTAAACATGTTAATGTTACTTTAGTAAAAGTATGCTAGTATAATTAGGAAAGTGTTGTTAAAGTATTTAAAGTAGACACAAGTTATACTATTATATATCATTTGATTTATTGTTATTACCGATGCACGAGTTGACTTAACTGTTGTAGTTGGAGCTCATTTTGAACAATGAGCTAACTAATTATTACTTTCATAATGGTGTAATGTGCTGACTATTTTCTACATTAATAGATGGTCTGGTTTGTTCAAACTCTCAAAATAGTACGACATGCTGTCATAATTACCCAGAGTCCGAAGTGACACCTTTACAATGTTAAAAGCTGTTAGATAAATGTAGTGACGTAAAAACTAAAGTATTCAAGATAGTGTAGTGGAAAAGAGATAATGTTTTTTTTTTTTTAAAGTTACCAAAACAAAATCTCTTGTTTTGGGCTGACAGTAATGATTCAAGAAATAAATACACACACCAATTTGTTGTGGATGGAACACAACAAATGGTGCTCTTACCTGTGATGCCTCCTCCAAACATTATAACCAGACTGTATCATTCAAACTATAAGTAACAGTTCTAGCTACTTGACTTTAGACAAACAATTCAAAAGACAAAATCAACACAATTTATTGAAAGACCAATCTTTATTTCTCTCCTTTTGTTTGCATTATTAAACCCTGTCAATCTAAAAAAACTGAGCAACTCAACAGTTAACTTTATATTTCTTATTGTCCAAAGCATCTATTACACTATTTGTTCCCCTCTCATATTCACAGGATGGATGATTAGAGACCTTGGGGGAGACCTCAGATTTATGAACGTCCTGTCTGTTGGTTTGGCCAGAGAGGGCTGAGGGTCTTTCCCTGCGAGGAGGAGTACTCGCAGGGAAAGACTCTGCAGGCCTGAGGGAGGAGGACCAGACCTGATGGAGGAGGACTTGCACCAGCTGCACCTACAGAACTTAGCCCATGCTGGGCATAGCTGTTACCACCTGCACAGGCCTAGCCTGTCAATTAACAGATTAACATTGAGTGTAACTTATGTATATTATTTCGTTTTTATTTAAAAAAAAAATGGTGATGGTTCATGCTTGATAACTTTTAGTTCACATTTCAATAAATTGTATTTGCACTCCTTTTGTCCGTTATTCTTACTGAAAATGTTAAATTACACATTCACATCTGACTGAAGATTGGCACCATTTATTTGTGACGTTGCCAACTCTGCGGTACAAGACATAAGTATTGTGAAGCTCATAAAGTGAGGCAAATGCATTTGATCAGCTGACTTTTATCACATTAGCTTCTCCTTTCCCTCTTGGATGTTCTTCTGGACCCTCAGAGAAAGAGAACGTGGTGAAGCAGTCCTGTCTCTCAGGCCTGTCCTTTCCTAACAGAAATATCAAGAAACATATTATTGCAGAGCAAGTGTGTTATTTAAGAAAGAGGTGTGTTTGTTTGTTCATAAATATAATGATTTTCTTATTTGAATGTGTTTTTTAAATCTAACAGTGTACTACAAAGATAATCAGGTTATGAATAAACCGTTCTAAATTCATCAACATTGAAATAAATGTATTATTCAAATAATATTTAACTGTTATCAAAACTTAGTGCAACTGTAGAAGCTTGCTCTGTTCGGTTGTCTCACTGAAAGAATCACTTTTAACATGTTGTTTTACAGTCAGTATGCAGAGACAAAGGGTCGCAGTTCTCACTATGTTCAATAATATTTGCCTTAAATACATTGAAATGTGAAAGTTGAACAAAAAAGTGATGTTGCTTGGTAAAATGTAAATGTAACCTTTTTCTAAGAAAGTGCACTCAACATCACTGATGTGTAGGTGATCTAGTATCAGTATTTAGTCATGTTTAATGGCATGTATATCAGTGTATTAGAGTCATTACTTTATGCATTCTTTGTAAAGTATGAAAAAGGTGTACCTTGGAATCCGTGCTGAAGTTCTCTGCTGTTAGGAGTCCAGATCTGTCTCTCCTCCTCTGGTCCAGCCTGTCTGGATCACCTTGAGGACACTTTGAACAAACAGATGTAAAGTTACATGCGTGGGTTACAGACTTCTTTACATGCAAACTACTTTTTATCTTCTTTTAAAAACAGGTCATAATCTTATTGTTATACTTAAGAAATTGCTGGATATCACAGTCCTTATACTGTATCAGTTTGATTGAGTATTATTGTGTAGGTCCTTTTTATTTTACCGTTACTTTGGATGAGGTTTTCATGAGTCAGTCAAATTAATTTGTTTTCATATGCCATATTCATATGTATCACACACGTAAGGATAAGACACAAACCTATTCAACAAATGCAATGCAATGGATAAGCTTCATTTCCACTGAAGTCACAGATAACGTCATATCTAATATTTAAACAAATCATTTCCTTGTCACTAAAGCATTGACTACGCTATTCATAGTCCTTAAATGCAGATATCAAGTTACATGTTCCGTTCTACAGCCACGATAAGGCTGTTTCTCAAGTGTGATGATAATACAATTAAAAGAGGCATTGGTAATAATATTAAAAACAACAATGTTTGGGTCGGATAGGCGGTTAGCTGCAATAAATAACTCCAGTTCAACAAACCATATTACAATATCTAAGGGAGCGTTATTTCTGGACCATCTTGAAATGTGACGTTCATATTTTAAAGTTACACACATTTCATTGTGAGGTTGATTTAATATACACTAAGCCTCTCTTCAACAATACGTTGACGTTAGCTAGTCTATTTTATGCTATAGTAGAGCATAGCGAATTTAAATGAACCTTAACAATGCATACAGTAACCTAACTAGCAAACTAACTATCTAACGTACAAGGATGACCTTATTTTAGCAACCTCGCACAGAAGCCTTTTGGTAAACAGTAGCATCCCACTTAATGTTATACACTCTTGGATGCTACGCATAGCATCGTTAGCACAGATGGAGCTACGATTGCTCAAATGCTAACCCAACTCTAAACATTAATTAACGTTAGCTTAATAAAAACACCAGTAACATAACATAAAGTACGCAGGGTTGACTTACCGAAGAAACTGCATTCATGGACGGTCTGTTTCAACCGCAGATAAATCCTATATTTGCATGACGAATAGTCCACCAGGAACCAACACAACAAACACGGCAGAATTCAAGTAGTGTTCTCCTCATGCGCTGAGCCCCTGTAGCATCACGGAGCTAACAGTGAGACAGAGGAGCTAGGAGCAGCAGTCCCGTTGTCATGAAGGGGGAATTTAACTATATACAGAACATGTTTTTGTGGATCCAGGCTAGAAACATGTTCATTTTCTGATGTTAAGTTGGACATTTTAACATAGGGTCTACGGGAATTTCTCCCATCTTCATCCATCGCCTACAGTTTACAGCATTGGGCTTCACCGCACTGTCCCGGGGTTTGCCGCTTGGCTCTGATAGGCCAGAAGTCGGTTTGATTGCATTCGGACTCGATTGCTTATCCTGTCTGAGTAGCCCGGATGAGGCTGCATCGCAATTTTTGACGTCGAATTTTATACACCGAATTTTTTGACATCGAATTTTAAACACCGAAATATTTGACGTCGAATTTTTTTCACTTGAATTTTTGGGATCTGAATTTGAACATTCGAATTTTTTTAACTTGAATTTTTACATTTTTATTTCACATAGGTAAATTCGGAGCAAAAAAAAATTCAGATACATGATTTTCAAAGTAATTATTTTCAATGCTATAAATTCGATGTCTGATAAAAATTCAAATACTTCTGTCTCTTGTTTGCTTCCATATGCACTCAACTCTAATATACTTGCATGGGATAGCAGTTTTCAGTCCCTATCAAACAAACCATCAATAAATAAACAACTTACAAAATGATACGCATCTTTTAAATTGTTTATTTTTCATCTGTACTGTCACAAGATATTAGAAGCCCAGTGAAAACTGTAAATCTGTCTTTGTTCCCAGTAGGAGAGGTTGTATAAAGGTCTTTGATAACGACGCTTGTTATATGTTTTGTTATCTATGCTAACCGTAATGCTATATGCTTTGTTTGTGCCACACAGTTAGCTGGAAGCGGTGATGACACGGAGAGAGAGCAAGATAAAGAAATGAAGGAGCAGCATTACTCTATTCCTGTGGTTAGTACCAGCTATTCTCTAGTGGAGTCCTGTCCAAATAACCACCAGGAGATGGGAGTCTCTCTTAAACGTAAAAGGCAAACCACCACAGAAACTGAGATAAGTTCTGCGGATGCACTTTCCAACCTCAGAGATGAAGATGAACTGTTCCTGCTCAGCCTGCTGCCCTCACTGAAGAGGCTTAACATTAAAAAAAGGATGGAGGTACGGATGAAATTCCAGCAAGTGCTTTATGCTGCAGAGTTTGAGGACTAAAGAGATCTTTATAAAAAACGGTATGGTTGCTGGTGTTGCTTGTTCTGGTTTATCAAAAGCATTTAACCTGTAAATAGATTTGTTTTAATTATGTTGACTTTTTTAGTATTTATTTTTTGATCACCACTTACCACTTTCATTTTTAAATTGTAATTTCAGCCATTAAAGCACTTAGGACTTAAAATCGGCAAAACACGTGAGCACTTGTTAACTTGGTTACTACTCTGTGATGAAAAATGTACATTTGTTTGGAGCTCTGTTCGTCAGGGTTTCCTGCTTCTTTCAAATGATATGTGTAGATTAGACAGAGCTCTCTGACTGTACATTAATGTCTCTGCTTTATCTTTCTGAAAAGAGTCATCGCAAATGTGTATTTTTTATACAAATACATATTTTATTGCTCTGGAGAAAAACGTTTTTGCCTCCTGTTATTTTTGCTTGTCTATAGACTTAAAAAGGGCACTGTATAATCAAGTAGTCAATTTCCCCAAAAAACATTTCTACAAATCCTTACCTGCTAGTATTTTAACTTGGATGCAAAGTCATCTATACACACACACACACACACACACACACACACACACACACACACACACACACACACACACACACACACACACACACACACACACACACACACACACACACACACACACACACACACACACACACACACACACACACACACACACACACACACACTGTCCATCTCAACAAGGACCTCCCTCACTGTTCATGGATTGGATGCTAATATCAGGCTTGGCCCTCCTCTTTTGCAGAAAACATTGTTCACCAGTTTTTGTGTGTTTTCATTCATATGAGCGGTATATTGAGCTGATGTGTGGGTGGGGTGTGTGTATGAGTACAAGTCAGTTCCCCAGTTTCTCTCACGTCTCCCCCCTCCTCCCTGTATATCCCTGTCCCTTCCCCCTCTCCCTGGCTTCCTGCTCTCCTGTCATTGGGTGCTGTGTGGGGTGATGGTTTCTGTCGGTGATGTCTCCACAGCGTGTACCGGCTTCAGAACTATAGAGTCTTATTTTGACAGCCTTGCAGGACCAATTAGATTAGATAGAGAGATAGATATATGGATACATATATACATACATACATACATACATACATACATACATACATACATACATGGATAGATAGATATATGGATACATAGACAGATAAATGTGTCTGGAAAGAACATGTAAAATAATATACTAAGAAGACTGTTCATCATCTCTATGGAAGTAAGCTGAAGTCTCATGGGACACCTAGGAGACGCTGGATGCTGCATGTAGCTGAAACACCTGACACCCTGAAGCTTGGACTGCATTCTGCCAGGAAGTGGAGGAATCAAGCCCATTATGAACAGTTTCCACACTGTCATTCCTTCAGACTTTGTATACTGGACCAGAGCATAGACTTGAGTGCTAACAAGCAACAGAAAAAGGATCAACTCTGCGTTTTACTGCATGAGGTGAGATGCAACAACCGCATGATAACATATACTGTACATGTTCATGAGGGGGGATGTTGTTATGATAATATAGATTTTTCCACTATTCATATTTTCTGCTTTTATAGGACTATATTATTACTATTTCTTGTTTACCACTAGTATAACAAAATCTATGAATTGATCACAGTGAGCATAGCATCACTTCAGCAGTGCTGCTACTACGATGAAACAGCATCTCTTCCTCTTATTGGTGGATCGAGGTTCCACTGAAGGCTATTTATTTGTTGCTCCGGGTGTCTGTCATGTAGAAGGGTGTATTCCTACAGTGGTCATATGATACAAACATACCACCCTAGTGTAGTGTGTGTGTTTAGGTGTGGTTCGGAGATGATGGGAGAGCAGAGACAGAGTGGAGGAAGAAGGAGGATGCAGGGGAGAGATGGAACAATTTGATAAACAGAAAAATATTCAAGTTTACTTGTAAAATCAAAAGAACTGGCATGCAAGACTGGATGAAACATACTGACATTTCTATGCATGTCCCTTTTGCATCAGGATGAACATATGCAATCAATAACATTATATATACATCTAAGCACAAATGCTTATTCATAGTTGCTTGTTGTCATGATTGTGCAATCTTTACATGTAACACTTTAGGTGGAGAAAAACAGGCATGACTTATGAACAGCCAAACAGGTGTCAAAGTAAAAGAAAATTCAAGTGAAACATTAAGTAGAAAGAAATCAGCAGATATAAAGATACAGATCTAGTGCCTGTGAGGAATACAATTATTTAGATATACAGACAAAGAAACACAATACAATAAATAAGATGGACATCCAGGAAGCAGATGTTTAAACTATGAATTATTATTTTGTGAATGCTGCCTTTCATAGAATTAACAGGCAGTATGCACTCAGCTAAGAGATGTATGGATCAGCAAGAAACCGACGGTCATATGATCCCTGGTCAGCCCCTCAGCTATTAGAGAGAGAGAGAGAGAGAGAGAGAGAGAGAGAGAGAGAGAGAGAGAGAGAGAGAGAGAGAGAGAGAGAGAGAGAGAGAGAGAATAGTAGAGAGATTAGATAGAGAGAGAGAAGAGAGATCGTAGAGATGATAGAGAGAGAGATGAGTAGAAGAGAGGAGAGAGAGATAGAGATCTAGATCGATAGAGAGAGAATGTTGAACAGGGAATGAGAAAGCAGAACAAGAGGAAACAACAAGAGCAACAGTTTTTCTTGCTGTGTTGTAATGGAGATCAAATAGGCCAGTTGAAGCATTTGGAGGCTTTTACATTATGGTGAGGTGGAGCCCCACTGGATGCATTCATCATAAACCACTCAAAGAAAAGGTAAAACGCGCTTTAATTCTATGTTATATTCTGTAATGTCAACTTGGTGGTGTCTGCACTAATAATGAAATCTGTATCAGAGTTTAACGGACTTATTCTGTAGTGTGGGTTTGAATCAGTGAGGAGGATGTTAGGATTATAATGTTTTCTGACAGAGACTAGACAGCCTTAGCTTTGACACTATATTGCACAAGCTCATTTGGAAGCAACGCAGCAAGAATGAACAGCTGTTTTGTCAAATCCTATTCTTCAATTCTACATCAGGAACCAGGTTTAAAATTCAAATGGTTTGTTGTTTTTCATTTGGGCGTCGTGGTATGCCAGTGGTTGCGTATGTCACAACACCAGATTTTCATTTCCCATTTATCATGGCCAAAAACACAATTCACGATAACAAGGCTGTTGAGATTTCTGTAGAAAATTAAAAAAATGTAAATAAATAATGCAATAACTTTAATTCAATTCAATCTTTATTTCAGACTCAAGGTCCATATCACATACAATAATCCATCTATAACTTTTTGTATTGACATTTTGTCTCTTTTTTTGACAAATTACATTTAGAAAACAAGTGTAAAAAAGGTGAAGAGTCTAACCATAAATTCACAAAGTTTACATTTATTTTCTGCTGGACACAATATTATCACATGTGTACTGCTGTATCAGTGCATCCTAAATCTCAAAAATAGTTCTTATGTTTAGTAATGTTCTCACAGTATGCTTGTTTTGTGTAAAGAAGAGTGGAGCATATATGGGAAAAGTCATTGAATTTCGTGTTTGCTGATGCTGAAATTGTTTTAGACATTCTTGTTTTATCTCCTTGCTTAGAGTCAACAGGTTCCAGGGAAAAACCCTACAATCTTGACAGTGTGGCACCAGCTCAACAGAAAACCAGACCAAAGATTACCACTGCAGGGCTCAGGGATTTGCTTGATTTACTACAATTCTCTTTGCAACATTGACATTGGCAAGACAGTGGGCGGAGTAGAGCCCGCTCACCATGTACTCGCCTCAGAGTCTCCACCGCTGGGGCATCACTCACAGTGAGAGTATGGAGCGGTTAGCCTACAGCCAAGGTAGGTTGGCAAGTATTTTTTATATGAATAACTTCATCAATTATACAACTCCTGTCAAGACTTAAAGGTCACCTATTATGCAAAATCCACTTTTTCATGTCTTTTATACATAAACATGTGTCCCCTCTGTGTAAAGACATTCTCTCACTTGTTGTCCTGATCCATTTACAGTATATCAAAACCTGTCTGAAAATGAGCTGATCAGATTTTGGCCACTTTATGATGTCATAACAATTTTCTGGCTTGTGTAACATTAGCCAATCACCAACCAAGGTAACCCTCCCACCTTATCACCTGAATCTCCTCCTAGAGCACCATTGTGGTTTTTTAACCAAAAGCTCCTTATTTTCATCTAAAGTAACAGACAGAGAATCAGCACATTTGAAACAGGGCTGAAACAGAGGGGATTATGGGATGCTGCAATGATCTGTTTGGTATTTGGAGCCAAACACTTCAGATATATTTTTTGTATATATCTGAGACCTATACTATATTGATGAAAAACAGTATAATAGGGGACCTTTAATGCCCACCTGTTCTCATACAATGTTCCGTAACGGTATACATCCATACAAATCTCTGGATTTTTATCACTGCATTGAAACAAAGCATATATCCTCTCTGCTGTTCACTCCTGTCTAATGTATTACAACAAATCACAAATATAACATTTACATAATTAGCACTCTGACACTAACCTAATAGGTAGACAGTAATTTATCTTATCCATAGGCCTTTTTTAAATTTTTTAAATAAAGAGTGCCTAACATTAAAATAGCATAATCTTAGCTAAAGTGTGTGCGGTGAAGTCTAATAAAGAGGTTAAACATACAATCAGTAGCATTCTTATTATAGAAAAAAACACAAAGTATTTTTTGTCTGCATAATTAATTGAACCAGCTTATGTTACCAAAAATAATTGTATACATAGGCCTTCATAAAGAAATCTCAATTTCATTTTGCAAAATGCATATCTCCCATCAAATGGCATATTGCTCTGTATGAATGGGTTGTGAATGGGTGAATGATGAGGTGTGGTAACGACTGGATAAAGCACTAGATAAATACAGTCCATTTACCATTCCAGTCCCCGGTCATAGAGTGTTGACCGGTACTTTTAGAGGTGCCTGTTGGCACCCTGGGCACTGCTGAGATTCCATTGAGCAAGGCATCGGACTCCCATACTTCTACCTAGTATAGTAGCTGACAACTGCTCTTAGCACTTGAATGGGTTAGTCGAAATTTCACTATTCCCAAAATGACACTACTCTGTCCTGGAGGTCAATTTTAGGAGGTTATTACGGAAGAGGATTATGGCCACATTTTTCTCAGAATTCTGAGTTTAAAGTCAGAACTAAACATTTTTTTTCTTTTGGTCACGTCCCAATGTTTTTTCTCATGTGGCCCTAATCCTCTTCCGTAGACAAGAGTTAATATTAGACTTCATTGTTTTATTTTTTTACTCACGTATCTTAAAATAGCTGTTAGGGCCTCCTTGTCTCCAAGCCTTTGTCCCATCTTCCACCTGAAGGCTGCAGCAGTCCCTTCCACCGGCAGCAGGGGGCGACACGTCCACAACACAGCAGCCTGAAATCATTACGTAGTGCTGCTGCTGCCTTTTGTGTGTGTCTTGTGAGCCTGCTGACACCGCCCCTCCGGAGGGTGCAGCGGGACCGTCACACGCCTACTGTGTCGGTTAGGTCTGCTGGCTGGCTGTAAACAAAACCCTACAGCAGCGCGATGTACGAAATATACCTGTATCCCGGGGAGATAACGGAGCTAACGGTGGTAGCCATGTAAACCGCAACCACGGGTTACAGTACTGGAACGTTACGACGCTTGGTGGTTGCCAGAACTGTCAGTGCTTTACTCGGTGGTTTTACAGGTATTTTTCTTGTGCAATGGTTGTCATAATGGTCACCCGGTGATTTGTACATCAAAGCTAGCTTGCTAACCGTGAGCTAACCGTACACATCTGGCTGCTAATTTCGCACCACTAGCTATAATAATTCCAGATAAACGTGAACATGGCAGCAGCAGCGGAGCACGACCTGGCTCTGTCTGAGGCGGACAGCAGCAAGGAGAAGGCTCAGGTGTTTGGGATTTTGAGGCTACAAGAGGAGAAAGCTGGTGTTGTTGGGGATAAAGCTAGCAGCACAGCGAGAGGAGGAGGAGACGGGCGATGGCAGGCTCCTATCTTCGCTTTGGCCAGGAAAGCATCCGAGACCATTTCAGGGAGTATTCACGTCCTGCCCAAAGTGTCGGAGCACAGGACGTCTCTGCCCGGGGACTGGGCCGTCCAAGGTAGAGTACAGAGGGGGAAGAAGTACTCAGATCTTGTACTTAATTAAAAGTAGAAGTACTAGAGTGTAGGAATACTCTTAAGTAAAAGTACAAAGGAATTAGCAACAACATATACTTACCAAAAGTAAAAGGACTCATTATGCAGATTGGTCCATTTCAGAATGGAATATGGTTTGATTAGAGTTATATTATTCATTAAAATGGTATCAAGCTGGTAAAGGTGCCGCTAATTTAATAACTGTATTTACTGCAGGGTAGCTTGTGAATGTGTGTCCAGGTTTACAGAAAGTCTTATTTAAGAGTTGTTATTATATTATATATGATTATTATATTGCATTATCAATCCAAATCTGGAAAGTAACTAAAGGTATTAAATCAATGTAGTGAAGTAAAAGTACAAAGTAGCACAACATTGAAATACTCAAGTAAAGTACAATTATCTCAAAATGTACTTAAGTATGGTACTTGAGTTACTTTACACCACTGGTAGAGTATTATCAGCATCCAGGGTGTGAGGTTAATAATAACAGGTCTGAAGACACCCAGTATATCATTGTTTAAGGATAATGAAGACACGCTACTATCTTTATCTTTAACTTATCAGTCCCCCATGAGATGTTCAGACTCTGACACTCATTCAGGCAGCTGATAATAGGATCACAGATAATAGTTTCAGTTAGTGTGAGTAGATAAACCGAGCTGTTGCATCCCAACATATCTAACATGACCTCATAAGTGTGTGTGTGGGGGTGTGTGTGTCCCATTGAGTTGTCACAGATCAGAGCTGCTCTCATGCTTTGATGGTACAGCCTCCTCTAATAATGTTGGCTGGCTTCTTCCAACACACAATGTAATGGCCTAAAGCATCACATGCTGCACTGATGCAAATAGACTGCACTGTTTTTAATATTTCCTTTGGGGCTATCATCATGCTTGGTGCACTGTGTGTGTATATGAAGTGTTGTCTGTATGTTTTATCTTATTGTCGAAACCATTTTCAACTCAGTCCAAGTCCCAAATATATTCATTCCATAATTTAAACACAAAGCATTCAAAATGGAACCACCAAACGTTTGGTCTTTTAGCTTGACAAGTGAACGACACTAATCAATGGTTAAGCATAATAGCGGCTGGTTTCTTTTCTGTTGAGCATCATCTTCTGTCATTTTATCAGAGCTCTGGGCTTTATTTTGTCTCTGTCATTGCGCCTATCAGCCATTGTCTGTCTGTCAGTGGAAGTTGTCACTCCCCACACACTCACTATATTTAGCTTCTTATAGATTTCAGGTCCATCACAGACTTGCATTCTAATTTACTAAAAATCTGCATCATGCATTGAGTGCAACATGACGTCCTTGTTGATCGTTTTTATTTTAACAAGAACACATGACACTAATTTAGGAGACGGAACATTTTAATCCCCCATAACTCAACAATTGAAACATTAAGACACTTCTGCGTTGTAGCTATTTATTCCTCAGAGTTTGATGTACTCTACAAGTCACATGGTGTTCACAGGCAATGAAAGGGTTTCTTTTTTTCTCTCAGAATCCTCAAGGCTCACCACCAAAGGGCGTCAAGAGTCACGCTGTTCCCAATAAATCCTTGGTTGATTGGTCAAGGCCAACCTGATGGGGCAATTAAGCTCTTTTGAAATTTGCTAGGCAACATCTCTGCACTGTTTCACCTGACATTGTTTTGTTCTGGCATGTTTGGCTACACATTAACCCACGGGTCCACATGTAGAGCCTTTAGTAACATGTTTCCATAGGAGGGGACAGTCTCAGGCTATGGAGGTTTTATATAATGTAAATGCTGCAAACAAGGCAAATATCTAACAAAGCTATATAAAATGTAGGTACATAAATATTTCTAAGCTAATTAATCATTTTCAAGTTTGGATGAGTTATTATAGATAACTTCGATATATTTGTATTTACCGATGCAGTTGTATGGTCATTTTAAATATTTGAATGACTATTGTTTTGCACAGTCTATAAACAAACTGCTGTGTTTTTTATGTCAAGGCACCGAAAATAAACTAAACATGGTATTCTTAAGGTTATTAAACACCACAAATACTAAAAAAGTATTCGGTATTAATTTCTTAGAATCTTGACGGGCGTATTTTAAGCATATTTTAGGTTAAATGTTTGTGTGTGGCTTTTATCCTGCAGCGCTGCGAGACCCCATGGCGATGGAGCGAACCAACCTGCTAAACATGGCCAAGCTGAGCATTAAAGGGCTGATCGAGTCAGCTCTGAGCTTTGGACGGACTCTGGACTCAGACTACCCGCCTCTCCAGCAGTTCTTCGTTGTCATGGAGCACTGCCTCAAACATGGCCTTAGAGGTAAAAGTGGCGTCTCAACTTATTAAAATTGCTGCACAGTTGTGTTTGTGTTTCTCTCACTCATAAAATATAGAATTCCTGTATTTTCATATGCCAGTTTTGTCTCTTTCTCTCTGCAGTGAAGAAGTCCTTTCTGGGCTTTAACAAGTCTCTGTGGGGTCCTCTGGAGCTGGTGGAGAAACTTTGTCCTGAAGCAGCAGAGATCTCCGCCTCTGTACGCGACCTGCCTGGACTTAAGTAAGGAGGACAATGATGTACACACACACACTTGTGCTCAAACACAATAACCTGACATCCTGCTGGAGGAACATGAGCCACAACACAACCGCACACACAGTAACATGAGAATGTGACGTGAGCCAGAGCAGGGAAATACCTGTGATTTACTTTCACTTCACCTTTCCCGCTCCCTGCAGCGTTACTTCTCCTTATCTATTCTTTATCAACATGATATCTCTGTGTAACATCTATGGCAAAAATAGACACATTTTCCGAAGTAATCAGACTGAGTTTTGGTCACCTGTTTATAATCAAAATAAGTAATGGGGCAATAGTTTATTTGCATCCAGTGTTGAGCAGATTGTGAAACATTGTTATTTGTTTTTCAATGTCACTTCCTGCTATGACTATCACACTTATTTTTAAGATCTGCAGTCTGAGGGGGGACAGTATTGGATTATAAGAACACATAGTAGCCTTTAAAGTGCCCAATATGGGTCGTGGTCAAATGTATACTTCATATTCAAGTTGTGTCCTCTAGTCTAGTGGCTTTGTACTCTCATTCATGCTCATGATTCTGACGTCATACTTTGTTAATAATCTATCAGTCCCTACATACCAGAGCTTCCAGACAGGAGACAGAGTGTGTAATATTCAGCAGTCTGATCCAGCAGAAAAAGGGAACAGTTGTGTTGTGACAGTGTGTTTCCTCTAGTGGTGCTGAGTCAGACCAACAGACATGTGGCAGAGCGTTTTTTCAACATGTGCAACAGTGAAAACGTTTTTTCTTTCTCTGGAATAATGTGATGCATTAAAAACGCAGTTTAGGTGGCTGATATGTCACAGAGGCAGAATGAAACATAGTTGTGTATTCAGATTGTAGTATTGTGTTGTAGATCCTGTAACACTTACACCTCTGTGTTTTTCTGTGTGTTATTACCAGGACTCCATTAGGCAGGGCCAGAGCTTGGCTGCGTCTCGCTCTCATGCAGAAACGGCTGGCCGACTACCTGCGACTCCTCATCACCAGAAAAGACCTGCTCAGGTACACACACATCCTGTTCACATAGCAATAGGGGAATTACACTTGTTTAGAAAAACATACATTTAAAATTGGTTATATGAAAAGCCTTTTATCAGGCATGGTAAAGTTAATCAAGTTACCATTTTGAGATATCAACAGCAGTTCCTGAATCTGTTGTGTGTTTCTCCACAGTGATTTCTATGAGAACTCAGCGCTGATGCTGGATGAGGAGGGGGCCGTGATCGTGGGCCTGCTGGTGGGCCTGAACGTCATCGATGCTAACCTGTGTGTCAAAGGCGAGGACCTGGATAGTCAGGTAACAGCTGCTCCAAAACAGTGCTTAGAGCGTTTGAAAAAACACATTCATATAAGACACAGATTTAGATCGAATGTGTCTGATGACGATGCTGGTCACAGCTGGTGTGCTCTCCCTTCTGTCATCTCTATCATTTCATATTTTTTTCTGCTACACCATACTAAGCAAATAAATTAGAGAGAAGAGATGTAGGTCAACACAAAAGAACGTTATTCCACTTCCTATGCGCACTAGTTCATTGACGTGAAACAGTTTATCTTTAGTGACACAGACAAGATGTGTCTGTTTGCTCACATTATCTTGGCGTCAGGCAGATAGAAAGCAGACGCTGTGGGTTCATGTTTCTACTCCATGAGTGGAGACTTTGTCCTTAACGCAAACATATTTCTCACTAATGCAAACACCTTGCAGTCACACCTGACTGAACGTGCAACATGATGCAATCAGGAAATGTTTGTTTAGATCCAGTGGTCACAGAATGAGTCTACAACACACAGATTTTCAATTGAATGGCAGCTGTGAATTAGGTCTGATTCAATTCCTGAAGAAAAGTTGATACACAACATGTTTTGAGAATCAGAATACCTTTATTAGTCCCACGGAGGGGAAATGTGCGTAGTTACAGCAGGAAAAAGAGCCACAGACAGCTTAATGTTACATATGTTAAATATGTGACATGCATAAAAATGCATGCAAAAAATAAAAAGTTACATAATTAAAAAAAATAGACATCCTGTAACAGTTCTTAGGATTTAGCAGCCAGGAATATATTACACAGTTATTAACGGCATCTATAAATATTGCACATCTAGCACATATTGCACATAGCATAGGTGGTTGGTATTTAACAGCAGCAAGTTACACAATTTACAAAATACAAAATACACACCTTGTAACAGTTCTAAGGATTTAGCAGCCAGGTATATATTACACGGTTATTAACGGCATTTATATATTGCACATAGTTTGTTGGTATTTAGCAGCAAGGGGTGATATAGTCTGTGTTGTGGTGTGTGTGTGTGTGATATGTGTTCCGATGTTCGTGCTGTTTGGTAGTTACATTTATAACTAACACTTCATACTTTTTATATGCAAACATATTCGTTGGTTAAATAATTGGTAACTAAAGCTGTCAATAAATATAATACATAAATACATTTTTCCTTTGAGGTTGGGGTGATCGACTTCTCTATGTACTTGAAGAATGACATTGATGATTACCGGAGTGAAGAAAGGTATGATATTTTTGTCTCCCATTTCGGTACCACTTTACAATAAGACTACCCTTATAAAGGGTTTACGAATAGTTTGTAATTCATTTATTAATTAGGTTGTGAACACTTTATAAATCATTAATAAGCTTTTATAAGACATGAGATAAACAGGGCAACTGTGACCGGTTGCTTGCTAAATAGTGAGCCCACATTTATCTGTACTGCTAAGCCTTATATTGGCTACCTAGCTTACTTCGTCTTCTTCTTCAGCCAGCATCCTTGGTATCTGTTGCTCACTGAAATAATTCTCGCTAAGTAGCCATTACCAATATAAGGCTTAGTCATCTTGCCAAATAGTGAGCCTGTGTTGATGTATGAAAACTATGTTAGAACTGGTTCTTAATGATTAATAAAGTGTTTACAACCTAATTCATAACCTAATTATAAACCCTTTATTAATCCTTTATAAGGGTAGTCTTATTGTAAAGTGGTACCCTTATTTCGATACATTGGGTCTCTTTAGGACCCCTAAATGTAATGCAGAACTCAGTTTAATGTATGTTTCCCTGGCAACAGGAATAGCCAGATAGCGTCCATCTTGGATCAGAAGAACTACGTAGAGGAACTGAACCGACAACTCAAGTAAGACATTTCAAATTGTTTTTAAAGCAGATGTGCTTGCAAGAATGTTAGTACTTGTTGAGTTTATGATATTAGTTACTTTACACCAGTGGCTATAAAGATAGAAAGACTAAGCCTTGCACAGAGGCATGAACATACATTTTCAAAATGCTCAACAGTGCTGCCAAAATTATAAATTGACTGCTCCACAATTAAAATAAATGCTTTTATATATTTCTATTAGATGTGACTCTTTAGCGTTTCTGTTATTATTAACTGCTGCTTTAGTTGCTCTGACTGCTAAAATCCTGTTATTCCTCATTTTAAAGCCGATATTCCGTGGGGTCGGGGGGCTCGGATCCTTGTCACCTTTTTCATACCTGATGAATTTGCATCCCTGACTACAGTTGCTTTAGCGTGTAGAAGCTAGTAAGCCTACTATTTGATTTGTTTTAGATAGGCACCACATGTTTCATATGCAGACCTTATTTTCCTGTTCCATGTTCAAATAAACCATTTTCAGTGGTTATTTTTTTTTGTTCATGGAAAATGAGGTAAAGGTCATTGAGAAGTCATGGAAAAGTCAATTGGTGAAAAAGTGTATGAACCCTGGTTAAAGGAAATTGCAAGGAATGGATATCCTCTGTTTAAAATGCTGTGCATTTTGTACCTTTTCAAAACTCTCTTTTTTACCTCGCACTTTGTTTCTATTTCTGATGATTGTCAGATGTTTGAGTGGTTGTTTCAGAAGTGCACCTCTGTCCCATCTGTCCCTACAGACGGACTCACTAAAGCACAGACTGTCACACTTCCTGTTTCAGGTTCTCTTCTCACAAACCTGCTATTCTTTTTTTATATGAAACTTGATTGATCTGTTCCTTTAAATGGAATAATCTTTCTTCACATTTTGCAGCTGTAAAGAAACCTCTACTGGGTACTATTTCAACATTAAATTACCCTGTCATTAATATATTTTAATGAAACGTATGAGCTGTCTCTGAAGCCAAGTTTAACACTGCCATTGAATTGTAGCTATTAAAGTTGTAAAAGTTCAAGTTTAATATTGTGTGTTTGTTTGTCTAGCTCCACAGTTCACGGTCTTCAGGGCAGAGTGGACAATCTAGAGAAGTCCAACACTAAACTCATAGAAGAGGTGAGACCCACACTCAAAATACCTGTGTATTAGACTAAGTTACCTCTGAGTGTAAGTCCATGTTGCTAACACTGTATCTGATACGATGATCTCTAGTCTATGTTTTGATGAAATCACAGTGTCAGCATGAGTGTTATTGTCAAACTGTTTATTATCAGATAAATTAATCTGTGTTTTTGTTCTTCGTGTTTGTGTGTGTAGTTAGCCATAGCCAAGAACAACATCATCAAACTGCAGGAAGAAAACCAGCAGCTGAGGAGTGAAAACACCCTAATTGTGCTGAAGACACAACAACATTTAGAGGTACACAATCACACATGTACACACACAAATCACATCATTGTCTTAAGACAGATGAGAACTTTCAAATGGTACATCCAGCCTTTAATATTTCCACAATTATTCCCAGAACGTACTACAAATTGATGCATGATACGGCTGACATTGATGTTATTTATCTAGGTAACCCAGGGCGATGCGTCAGTGGAGAGAGACACGTACAAACAGTCTCGTCAGGGTTTGGATGAGATGTTCAGCGATGCTCAAAGGCAACTGAAGGAGGAGTGTCAGCTCAGACAGGTCAGACTGCGCCTGATTGTGTTTTTGTTTTCAATTTTTTTTATTGAGTGTAAAAAATAGACTTGACAGCATGTGTTTTATTTTTAGGATGTGGAGAATGAGCTGGTCGTCCAGATGTCCATGAAACAGGAAATGGAGCTCGCTATGAAACTTCTGGAGAAAGATATTCATGAAAAGCAGGTCAGCATCTATCCACTACTTACTCTGTCTTCCTTTTTGAATATATTTACAGAGCTTAAGGAAGACAACAGTGTACACGGAAGGACATCATTTAAAATAAGAAAACGTCAAATTGTATTCAGAATGACAATGGATACACAAATAGAATTCACCAAACATGAAAATTCATCAATGTTCTAAGAGACATGGGATAATATAGGACTTTGCATATTATGAGAATTGTTAATAATTAGTTTTAATCAATTTGGACACTGACAATTAATGCAAGGGCCGCATCAGGAATTGATTAGATATATAAATGGACTCAATCTGTTAACGTTATGATAACAGGAATGATGTGGTTGCTCTTCAGACATAGTGTCGTCACATTGAGGGCGCACATGATATTAAAGCCACTCAGCAGCAGCAGCTCATATGGAGCAGTCATACTTTGCCAACTCCTCTGCCAGTCTCTCTCTGGCAGCCTCAGGCCTTTCACCACCAACATGTGAACACTGCTACATAAAACACCAACAGCTGATATTTGTAACAAAGCTGCGACATACAGTGGTCGCCATGGCTACAGCCTAATTACATCCCTTAAAAACATCATCAGGTGAATCTGTCTGTGGAGAAATGTCATTATTTCACAGGACCATAAGGCATGTTATGTAACATGTATTGTGAGATACAGTGTGTCCTAGATATGCTTCAGCCCGCTAACAGGTAGCTCTATTTGTTTGTCATAAAAAATGTCATAGTATAAAATAAAAATCATAAAGAAAGTGATTGTATAGTATTTGATATAAGTTCAGTCAGACAACACGTGTTTCTTAATATGTTTATTATAAGCAGCATATAGTTTGAGTTTAGCGTCTAGGCTCGGGCCTCATCACTCCACAGATGTACAAAGAACATTGAGTGATGGTTAGATAACTATCCCCCGAGCCTACAGGTGGAAGCTGGGGTGGTGGTGGGGCAGGCGAGCAGCAGCAACATGAAACACAGCAGCAGGAACATGAACGTAGCAATAGAGTTGATTGCCTGAACTAGCTCGCAGGCTTCGCCCCATATATCGTAACAAGTCATCATTTAGTATGTTTTACAGCATTTAATGAAAAAGGCATTGTACATTGTCGAAAAATATAATACAAAATGTAATATTATATGTATATATATAAATGTTATATTAACATTTAAAAAACAAACAAGAAATGTCATTACTCCAAAAGAAACTGTACTGTAATTATCATAATTCACAAACTGCCAGTAAAACAATTATTTGAGAGTACAAAGAGATGCATACAAATAATAATATGAAACCCTTTAATGACTGAATGTATAGCGGAAATAAAAAAATGACAGTAAAACTAAAACAGTCATGACGAAATCAGAACACCATTGATGTTTTTATTCCTCACCAACAGGACACACTAATCGGACTGAGACATCAGCTGGATGAGGTCAAAGTCATCAATGTGGAGATGTACCAGAAGATGCAGGTAAAAAAACACAACCTCTTATCATACACAATGCACATACTGTCATAATTCTAATGACTCATTTATTTATTTGTTAGTCGTCAGATGATGAGATGAAGAAGAAGAATGACGTGATCACTCGTCTGGAGGAGAAGACCAATCAGATCACTGCCACCATGAAGCAGCTGGAGCAAAGGTGAGTTACACTCCCATGTGTCCTCAGTCCCTCCTTCGACCCTCAATCTACTCTGCGTTTCAGCAAAGACCCTTGTTGTACAGTCTCTCTATGCCTTACCAAAACATGAACAAAATCCCCTCCTAGCAAAGTGAGTTTGACGACCCTTTTAACATCTTTGACTCACGTTGAACTAAAATTATGGAATCATAGAAAAATACTCGTTCTCTGTCCAAAATGTTGTATTTTTGTCTACAATAGATGAGAGTAACACCTACGTCGTTTTTGCCAATCCGATCAGAAATTTAAGAAAACCGTGGATTTTTGGATCTTCAAAGAGCTCGATTACGATGGCCAGTCAGGCAAACAATTACATTAAATCATTGGAATTCGACGATCGGTCTCGATATATGGTTAAATTAAAATCAGTAGGCGAGGCTGTAATTTCTCCAGCTGTTACTCTCATGAGCGAGGCGGAAAATAATAGTTGTATCATGCCAAAAAGCTGCCGTGTCGTTTATTGCACCTCAAACATTAAAACAAATCCAGAGTTATGTTTTTCTGCACTTGCTCTAAGAAAAACGGACAGTAAAGAAGAGCTCTGTGGCTTCAGGCTTGATCGCCATTCAAATGACAGCGTTGTTTTCCCCCAAAAGTGGGCGGGGCCGTAAAGTCAGAGGTTACTCTCACCTATAGAGTGGCGAAGTCCCTCCCCTTCTGGGGGACCTCCATGGGACCTTATTTCAGAAAAAATATGTATGGAAGTCAATGGAGAGAGAAAGATTATCTTTCGATCCCGTTTGAATTGTGCCACGAATTACACATATGATGTTTGTCAATTTAAAAGATAATTTTGCAAGTCAAAAAAATAAAAATGTGTCGTAAAACTGTGAAGTAGTACCACATTTTTTTTTGTGAACCGCTCAATGAACTACATCTCTGGTCTCGCACACGTCACCAACACCAAGATGGCCGACACGTTAGCACATTTCACTTCTTTCTTTCAGAATGAGGCGAAAAGTATTAAACGAGGTGAAAATCACTCCAAGTCTGGGCATGTTGAGAGCTGTGCATACACACAAGGGGAGTTAGTCAGTTCCTTAAGAACCAGCATGCGGGACCGGCTTTACAAGGTTTCGGTGAGTAACACAAGTGTAATGTGTAACGTTAATGACATCACTTACGCGACTCCTGGATTTGTAGTCTTTCTAGTTGCATATTTTTGTCTTATATTTCAACAGTTTTACGACAAACTGACTTTTTTGACATGGAAATTATTTTTTAAGATTGACAAACATATGTGTAATTCGTGGCACAATTCAAACGGGTTCGAAAGATAGTCTTTCTCTCCCCATTGACTTCAATACATCATTTTTCCGAAATAAGGTCCCATGGGGCGGAAGTAGAAGGGCGGGACTTCGCCTCTCTATGGACATCGATCGCCTACTGCTATATTTAAACATATATCGAGCCCGATCGTCGATTTCCAATGATTTAATGTAATTGTTTGCTTGTCTGGCCATCGTAATCGAGCTCTTTGAAGATCCAAAAATCCACGGTTTTCTTACATTTCTGATCGGATTGGCAAAAACTTCAGAATTTGAATTGACCGCCATTCAAATGACAGCTTTGGTTTCCCCCAAAAGTGGGCGGAGCCATCATTTTTGCCCAGAAGTGATGCATGTGTTACTCTCATCTATAGTACTTTCCTTTTTATTATTACAAAAACCCCACATATTTCTGCATGGTGTATTTTTAAGTAAACTACAGAGAACTGGGGAAACAAATTTGGGAAATGATTTTAGTCTTTAATCTCTGTTTCAGTGTTGGTCAAAGGAAGGTATTATTTAATATAGTTTTATAAATGTATTTTGATATCTAGGCAGGAAGTCCTTATTCAGAGGTAGTATCCATTTTCCTGAAACACTTAAAAGAGCAAAACACCGTAACTATAAAAAATACGTTTGAATCCATTACCATTAACTAAACTGCTAATAAAAAAATGGGAAGAACTGCTAAACTATTTCCTGAGGGGAGCCCTGCAGTCCATAATGTATTATGTCAATCAATGACCCTGCTGATATCTTCATGCCTGCATGTTGTCTTGATCACTGCTGCACTACAGTCCTTGTACAATGCTCCATATTTCAATATCAGTCATCATGAGACCTGCTGGTCCATTGTTGCGTTCTGATCCCTCCTCACCTCATCGTCTACCAGTCAACACGGTCCACCCCGCCCTCCCTCCCCCATTGGTTTAAATCTGTTCCATCCTATTTGTGATTGGTTGTGAATGTTTTTGCTGCCCTAAAGGTCTGTGTTCAGTAGTCTGGTAGTACACAAACCCCGGTTACAGCTTTGTGTTGTGTAGCTAAAAAACAGTTAAACATGTATTGACAGAGCCACTGTTTTAATATTTGATTAGATAAGTAAAGATACATCCTCCCTTTAGAAAACAACGTGTTATCTACTTTAGAGATCAGGTTTAAATCTCTCATGTTGATAGTATACTTGTGTAAATGTCCCTTCTTTCTGATCATGTTATATTTATCTATCACTCCACGTTAGCTTTCAGTGCTTTTGCTTCCCATCTCTTCTCATTACTCATACGCTTACTGTTGAGGGAAATGTATCCAGACTAAAGAAATCTGATGCAAGTGGCAGCCTGAAATCAGATTTCTGTGTTTAAGTCTTTTATTCAAACGTCCTGCTGTTCTTGTGATGTTAAAAGTCACTTAAAGTGTTCAGTGTAACCGGGGCCACTTAGCATACTGATGTATTGACATCCTTTCTTCCTGCCTTTCCTCCTTCTTTCTTCCCTTCTGTTTGTCTCTTTTAAACCATCCATCCAATCATCCATCTGTTTTGCTCCCTTGAAACCACATTTCCTTTATTTCCTGATTTGATCCGCTGTGCAGTGATATGGATCTGCTAAATCAGACCCGAACGCTTGCTATGTCATTTGTTAATTGTGCCAGCTCAGACACAGAGCACCAGTACAAGCTAGTGAAGGACATCTCCTTCTGAGGACACATGCAGTCACACCATGGCTTATGACTGAATACATAAACAGACTTAACTTAAAGGGTTATTCGAGCTCTAGTTAAATCCCGTTCAGACAACTTGTGCTGAATGGATTTCCTCTGACTGCCCTGGTTCAGCTGGTCAGAGAACTGTCTGAATATTACTGAATCTGTTGTACTTTAATAGTAACATTTTAAAAATAATTGTACACTACTTTATCTATTCACTTACACATGCATACATATGCTACACATTGTTCCTGTCTGCAGTAGTCAGTTTATATGCAGTAACACTGACAGTAAGATAGTTGACAATGAGATGTTATCATAGGGTTGTTGTTGTTGTTGTTCACATTGAGTTACAATGAGTATAGTGGGCATAACAACAACACCTAGTGTAAATGTAGTGTTTAGGGACTGTATTAAGGAACTGTACAAATGTAATTGGAGTGGGGAGGAGGTAACATTATTTGTTAAAAATGGCTACACTGTCCCCACAACATCTTGTAATATTTGATTTCTGATTGATCTTTGCCATTAATAACTGAAATTGCTTAAATAATGTAATGTGGTGTACTCCAATTAAAACCATAAAATGTTAATGGTTTAATCAATATTCACATAGCTACCAAATTTGCCAAAAATGTTGCTGATGTCTGGGAAAACCACATGACATCTAGAGAGATAACATTCATTAACGACAGTCACCCTCAAAGGTTTAGGCTGCCATCCACCCAGTACCAACTGGGAACACACGTGTAATCCTTCCTCCATTTTTCTAAACTCCCTCCTAATAATTTCTGTACAGTCCCTTAATAGCATCCACGTTGGCTCTGCAGAAAAGTTGAGTACTATGTCATTTTGAGCCATGCTATCTTTTGACCTTGTGGCAGCCAGTCTAAACAACCTTAGATCATATAACCTAGGAATAGTGTTTCCACGGCGGCCTGCACCTCATCAGAGTCACTCCAGATGTCAGACAGGAGTTTGCCTGTGCAGCCTCCTGCTTTATTTTGCTGCTGTGCATGTGACCTGCTGCTGAGCGGCTGTGAAGACCCTTGCTGCGTCTGAACTCAGTCCCTCACTCACTTCTCTCTCAGTGATTCACATTCAGAAGTGTTCTCTATAGTGAGCAGAACATTTGAGCCAATTCTGAACCATTGTCATTTTGCATCTCCACGTACAGGTGACTTTTTTTTGTACCCTTTGGACACTAATTAAAGGTCAGGGGGAAATATATTTCACTCCAGAGCTGCAACAGTTAGTAAATCAACAGGAACATATTTGCCAAATCATTTGATCACTGTTTAATCTCAAAGTAATTTTTCATGCAAAAATTGGGGATAAACGGCTTTTAATTATTAAAAAAGGAAATATCTTTGGTTTTGGTCGAACAATATCCGACATCTATAAACAGGACTTTGGACTTGGAGAAACTGGGATGGATTTTTACTATTTTTGTTATATTAATGAAAACAATAGTTTGATGCAGCTCTAGTGCACTCTATAGTTAAAAGGGATTGATTTTGGACACAGCCGCCTCCTTCTGCCATTGATTTACTTGAACTGAAAATGGTAAGGTTGAGTCAGTTTTGCAGATAAAGCTCAGCAGCTTCAGCTCATGTGATCTGTTCCTGCAGGCTAGGCCGACTGTAAAGAATTGTAAACGTTTGATGCTTTTCTCAAGCAGACTTAAATGTTGTTGGGTCTTGTTTTTGCATATTTATTGGCTTTTGTGATAGATGAGATTCATTCGTCCTATTCTAACTCCATGTTCACAATACTGTAACTCCTCTCAATTTGTAGAAAAATAAGCACTTAGTACAGCTGTTGAAAACTCACAACTACTGTCTTTTACCGCAGTAACCAATAAAGTTAGATGTTTTGAAAGTGTTGGGTGTGGTTTGAGTTTCTGGACAGGTTTAGAGTGCTGACACTGGGAAATATATTGTGTGTTATTAAGTCTTCAATCAACACTAGCTGTTAGTCAGGTTCCTCTTGTGAAAATATCTCACATGGCTCAACAAGATCTAAAACTTCCTTTAAATCCTCATCTCCCAAAAACCTTTGTATTCGTCACTGCTCTGTTTCCACCCCCTCATTTCTTCATCTCTGATTGTACTCTGGTGTTGTTACAAAGAAAAGTACAATGCCTGCCATCTTCCAGCCCCACCTCCATTTATCATCATCCCTCCATGTACCCTCTCGTATTCCTCTATTATTTTGTGCCCCCCCCCCCCCCCCCCTCCATACTCAGCCCCCAGTTTTTTCTCTCCATGGTCCTGAGTTTGTCCCTGGTTATAATGGTGCAGATTACAGGAGGCAGAGAGGCACCGCACCTCGGCCGAGGAGGGGACCAGACGCTTCAAACTGGACTTTGCCAACAAGGCGGACAGCCTGCAGCGGCAGATTGAACACCGAGAGAAGCAGCTGTAAGCAAAACCGCTCTACGAACAGACTCATGTACACTGAGACACACGAGACACAGCATATCAAATACACCATAATCTGTGTAGGATTGTAAATCAAATGTTGTTGATGAAGCTCCAGTTTTTACATTTATAGCCTTGATTCATGAACCGAGCAGTAATTCACAATTAAAACAATTATATACAATGGATGTAGCTCTCTTCACGACACAGACACAGGTCGGTTCTTTCAAACGGGCGTTTATTTCTTGGAGTTTTCATCTTGTAGCTTCCCCTCTTCCGTTACGCCGTGAGAACTACAACAAACTAATTACACGTATACATAGCCAAACATATTAGCATATTGTGCTACACACACATGAATGAAAATAGGAAACATGAAAAAATAAAACAAATACCTCGTTGGCCGCTTGTCGTGAAAGGAGAGTAATCTTAAAGTTCCTTTTCCGTATAACTTTGTCAAATTAAAACTTTGTCACAGACTTCAGCAGAGCTTCAAATAAAGACGTCAAACCACATTGAGTTGTCCAGTGTATCAACAAAACACGCAGTACCAGTACATGAACACACATTAGTTCCTAAGCACAGGAAACAACAAACACTTACGCATATTGGTTTAACATATAAAACAAACTGTATTAAATCATGCCATATTTAACGAAAATAATATAACATTAAATAAAGTATTTATTTATTGAATTTAACTATGAAATTAATTGCGTTGTTCTTTTTAATTAAGGCAACTTTGTTACGTCATTTACAATGGATAATGTGCATTGTGCATTCATATCATCTGTTACTCAGTATGTCTCTTGTTTGTCATTGTTATACGTGTTTTTGGTGTTGTATGAACATGTTTGTGCTGTTCCTGTAGCCAGCAGCTGGACACGGACCTGAAGATAGAGAGGGAGTGGAGGGTGACGTTACAGAACGATCTGGACCGAGAGAGAGACGCGGTGTCTCAGCTCAGCACCGAGGCGCTGCAGATCAACGGACTGAAGAAGGTAAAGAGACGGGGAAAGAAAGGCATTATGTATGTGATCATATATAGTAGTGTGTGTGACTTCCAGTTTGTTATTTGGAGTTTTTATTGCGATAATTGCAGGAGTTTCATCGCCTCCACGATGAAAACATCCAGCTGAAGACCATCTGTGAGGACCAAGAACAAGCTCTCGAGGAGCTGGGATCCAAACTGAGCGAGTATGTGCGCTTTAAAGTGAAAATCTAAAAAGACAGTAAAATGCTCTTACCAAACATGTCACATTTTTAATTACCAATTCAATTTTAAACGTGTATCAATGTAAGGTATGTTTGTATGTGTGTTTTGAGAGTAAAAAGAGATCTTAAAATCATTAGGGCTATGCCAAAGTGTTTGCTAATTCACAACAAATAGCAGATATTTTGTATTCTTCCAAAAAAGAAAGTCAATAGATTTTAGAAAGCCAAACATCTTCCCTTGATGTAGCCAAGAATGAAACCTTTTTACTAATATTCTTTATATTTTGTGTAAATGTCTATTAATGTATTGTTTTTACCATCAGATCCAAATTAAAGATTGAGGACATCAAAGAAGCCAACAAAGTTCTTCAGGTAAAGTAAAATAGCACATCACTAAGACATGAAGTTAGATAAGATATTAGTAAAAGGGCAGAGATTATGTAAGTATGTTGTGTGCCGTTTTGTAACATGTATAATGCAAAATTAGGGAGAAACTAACGGTGTTGTTGTTGTTGTTGTTGTTGCAGGGGGGGCAGGTGTGGTTGAAGGACAAGGAGGCCAGCAACTGCAAGCTGTGTGAGAAGGAGTTCTCCATCTCCAGACGAAAGGTCAGTCAAAGAAGAACCAGAATAAAAGTAGAGATTGAAATCCATTCCTGGTTCAAACTACTCCAGGCCCTTGATGTGTTGTTGAGAAAGTAATTACTCCACATACTTTTCTATGAACAAATGGCAACTGGTATTTTATATCATATAAAAAGTTAATAGGATAATGTGTTTTAAAAATATAAACAAGTCATACTATGGTTTTTCTATTTTTCTAGTTCATACTATAATACGCCATAAGTTGTTACTGAGAAAAAAGTAAGATTATAGTATACCTGAAAAATATTTAAAAAGTCATAGTATGTCAAAAAAAGAAGTCATTTCACACACGTATATCAAAAGTCATTGTATAGTTTGCAATAAATTGTTCCTAAACAATATATGTAAAAGTATAGTTTGCCTTTATAAGAATAAGAAATAAGAAAGTCATAGTATAGTATGTATAAAAAAAAAGGAGATAGGATAGTATCCCGTGAATATATAACAAAGTTGTACTATGCTACAGTAATTCACCTTGATCTAAATCCTGAACTACACCCTGCTGTGTCTTTGAATTGTATTTATTTGGACCTGAAAACTCCTAGAAGGACATAGGCTTTGATGTTCAAGGTGTGGGGACCCTGTATGTAGTTATTGTGGTTTTAAATCTATCCGTCTCTCTCTCTCTCTCTCCCTCTCTCTCTCTCCCCAGCACCACTGCAGGAACTGTGGGGAGATCTTCTGTAACAGCTGCTCTGACAATGAGCTCCCTCTGCCCGCCTCGCCCAAACCTGTCAGAGTGTGTGACACCTGCCACGCCCTGCTGCTGCAGCGCTGCTCCTCCAACCCCACGTGAAGCACCGCTGCACCTCTGTCCTGACCGCCTCAAACTATCTGAGACCCTCAATCCCCTCTCCTCTGTAAGAACTGTCTCACAACTTCTCTCTACACACCGCTGCTGCTGCTGCTAGAAATGGCCCCTGTGCATGACCATTGAGTATATTTGCGATGTCTTTATTTACGGTTTGAAAAAGTCCCTCATAGACAAACAATGGCATCATTCTGCCTTTTTTTGAGTTAAGGCAGTCAGCCCACATCAACATGTCTTACTTTATAGTCCGAGTGAGAATCTCCTTTACAATCATTATCCTAAATATCAGTTTTACAGATGAAACATTTATGGCAAGTTTAGATATCATTGACCTGTCTGCTATAAGAGGAACCACTTTACTTTGGGCCGAGTGTGAACCTGCACCGTGACGAGCACTGCTGCAGCTAAATGCAGATTCACAGCCAAAGCTGCATTATTATAATTTATTTATCAGGCCTCAAACTGTATACAGCCAAACACATGAGATGATATCATTTATACAGATAAGTGTTGTTGCCTTGTTACCGAGTCTGAATGCAAAGCCCCTTCTTTAGAGCGAGAGGGAAATGAAAACAAACATACAGGCAACATTTACACAGGCACAAAATCCGACGTGACTACATACTGAATTGTATCGTTGACTGTGGGAAGTTCCTGTTTTTAAGTGGTTGTTTCACATGGCAACAAAGGCTTTTCTGCAAACTTATTGTAGAAACGTTTACAGCTCCAAGCAGATTGTGCTCTGCTGACACAATGACCTAAACTAGTGTCTTTCACATGAACTGAACCTCAGTGCTGTTGTGCCTGTGTAAATGCAGGGAGTTGAACCTACTTGTGCTTCTTGTGGTGCCAAAATGAGCCCTAAATTCTACAGTGAGGATTTCTGTAGAGATATTTTACAGTAGCAACACTAACCCAGAAGGTGCTGCTTCGAGGACCAAGAAGAGCAACAGATGGAAAACAAACTGGCTTTAGTTAGTTAACCACTGATGGCCGTCTTACAACTTGACCACTTCACTGACTAGTTGGTGGCTGAAAACAGATGAGTGTTACACACTTCTGACACCATAGCCCCAAGCTTGAACACTTGCCAATCCTATATTACCTGTAATATAGAGGAGTATTTATGTTTGATTTTGTGCACATTTGTTACTTTCAGAAATCATGGGAGACTTGTGTGAGGCTTCCCTGTGAAGTTAGTTGTAATCTGTGCAGATGGAGATGTTATGATAGAAGAACCACATTTTACTGCTGCTCCATTCCTGAGAGGGAAATGTTGAATTTCTTAATCTTGTTTTTTATTATTTTAAATGCTGCTGACTGTAAGGTTCAGTCTTCAGCGACGGGTTACGAGTTCACTGCACACTCTGATTTTGTACTTAAATACAATGTTTACAATTTGTGACTTAAAATAAACTGGAAGTATTCATTTCCATGAAGACAAAACAGGCCTGGGTTCATTTCAATAAGCGTTTTTCAAATATTTAAAATCACACCAATTTATCATTAAGTGCTAGGCAAACACTTCTGAGCTGCACTCGGGCCTGAAACCTTTTTGTACACGGTTGCGTTTATAAATCTCTTTCAATGGGACAGTGTTGATACCACTGTTGTATGTTGTATATACACATGTTGATAATCACCGTGGAACTTTAGCTTATTAAATCCTGCCAGTTTAATAATAACTATTGCCAACGGTTTGTTGCCTTGACTGTAGCAGTTTGATTAAATCACGTTACAAACACAATCATTCGTGTTGTTCCTCTTTGACATTCTCCTGTGAAAATGTACTGATGTGTTTTTCCTGCCGTACTGAAATCCACTGGTTTTGATTATCCATTACATGCCTCATAAGAATTTGATTAATTGACAGTCTTGTATTAAGATCTATTGGAGACCCTACGTAAAAGGGCTACATGCTAAAAATTAATTTGGGCTGACATTATATTCAGAATTCTAACTTTCAATTCAGAAATGTGTTTAACTTCCTTTTCAACGTGATGTGAGAAACTGGGAGACAAAAACACAATTAAATGTAAAATTTATTACGCAAAATGTACAACAGCTGCTGAAGCTATTTTACAGCTCAAATATAGAGATTTTTTTATTTTACTTCCACCTTGTGAAATATAATATTCAACTTAGTTTGAAATTCTGTCATGAACTCTGAAAACATTCATAAAAAACACACTGGCTCACATTGAACAGCTTTTCAAAGCAGGAAAGCTGACCTAAAGTGCAGTTTGAATCAGCATATAACAGGATGCTCAAAATAACAAACCATAATAAACAGTTAAAAAAATGTTTAACAGAATTTCTTCCCGAAATACATTTGTAATGTTTTGAGGTTGCTGCACACTGCTCTACCTCCTACAGAGCGTCATTCAACTCAACAAATCAAAACGTTTTCATCAACCTCTGAAACCCGACAGCTGTTCTTCTGTGTCTCCATCCGACCAACGTCTCCTGCACTCATTCAAACAAGACAAAGTGCATTCCACTTATAGAACTAAGAACTGCAACACATTCAGTTTCCTTCTTCCATAGTCTTTCATAACTATGGGAAAATAAAAAGTTGTAAGTTCTCTTAATAATCGTGCAACTAAGAAAAATATGGCATTTGATGTGGCTCGAGAAAAAACATTCGATTTTCAAATTCTTAAAAAAAAATCTATAATGAACAAGAAATCTCCTTTTAGACTAATTAACCTTGTTTAGCACCAACAACAGCTCCAACATCTGAACATTGAAAGGCTGTACTGCTCTTCAGAAGTGTTTGATAACAGTGCTTGCTAAGGTCTTCTCTGGTCTGGTATCCATAGGTTTGAACCTCACAATTAAAACAAATGACTGACTTCAGATCAGCTCTCCTGCTTAAAAAAGTAATCGAGTAAATGTGGCCTGAAGAGACAAACGTCAGGATGGTTTGGAAGAGTGGGATGACATCATCAGTATGAGCCTCGCATCCCGCTGCCCCGCGAGCGTCCGCCCCCCCCTGAGTTATCGTAGTAGCCCCCACCACCACGACCTGAGAGGGATAAGGAAAGAAAGTTAGTGTAAAAATGTGTGAAGTCATTTCTAATGAGATTTTAAGAAAATATATATATATATATATATATATATATATATATATATATATATATGATCAAAACTAACAGCAAACTTCTATTTATCATGAAAGTGAAACAACTCACCCATTTCAGCGGCTCCACTGGCCGTTGAATTAAGAAACAGCTCGATGTAGCGGTGCTCTGTGGAGAAAATATCAATCCATTAATCATACTGAAGAACTGGTGTTTCTGCTGCTGTGATGGTGTGTTCCAGTCAGCAAGCCCTCATTACAAAAGAGAACACAGCCAGGAAAGTAAAAGGCCCACCTGTGTACGATATATCTAGAATTTCTCCCCACTTTACCTTGCCGTCAGATGGCCCTTTCCCACAAGGAACAAAAGACCGTTATCTAGCAGGTATCAGTTATAGACCAGCACCTTCTGTGCTCTGTGAGGTGAAACGGTTGTTTTGTCCAAGGACTTTGGTGGCTTTGAATAGAGCATAGATAACGTCTTCAGTTGCCCAAAGGCTGTCTGACAGCAAGGTAGAGCGGTGAAATCATTCTAAATATACCGTACACTTGAAATCCTATAGCTTTTTAAAGTGGCTCAAATAAATGTTTCCTCGTCCCACAGCAGTTAAACCCCATTTCAACTATACATAGGCAGCTTATCTGTTGATGTTGTGCTATTATTAATGCTTTTCTTATGAGAGACAAGTTGAAGAAAATAGAGGAGGACATACGCATGTGGTTCTTGTCTTTGGACATGGCTGACACAGCGTCTTCATGGCAGCGAAACTCCACATCGGCTTCCCCTGTGGACTTCCCGTTAGGAGCCACATCGATGTGGACCCGCAGTGGATTCAGAGGAGAGAAGAACTACAGGAACAAAGAGAGATACATAAACTATTAACACAGGCATGCACACATGACTCGTTTAGTGTTTTCTCAAATGTAGTAGCTCACTGGTCTTGGTGACGGACACCACTCTAGTATGGCGTAGAATCATAGGTAATGGTATATATGATGTTTTGCAGTACTTCCCTGCAGTATATATCCATTTTATGATGTAACAAGTTAGTTAAAGGGTCCTGGTTTCTGAAGCAGAATATTTAGGATGGATTGGTCAAAATGAATCTGCAAGCTTCTGTTGTGACAGAGTTAGCTTCAGATCTGATGGTCACGACTGAAATTCCACAAAAGGAGATTGAACCGCACAATGATGCCATCATGATGTATAACCTTACTATCACTGGGACGTTTTCTTCTTGGGGAAACTCAAGTGATTTTAAAGTCTTTTAGACCCTGCACTACACAGAGCCTTTGTTTGCACGTCTACAAGAGAAATAACTGGTCTCAGTGTGTGCTCTTACTTTAGCGATGTCTCCCTCTGTGGCGCGGAAAGGTAAGCCCCTCATATGAACAAAATGGCCGTTGTAGAAGCCTGTAGAAACATCACCTTGACCACCGTAACCGTGGCCTCCCATCCCTGAGTCAATCACACACAGACATCCACAGATTAATAATGCATCATTTAGGAATGTAGAACAGAGAAATAATCTGATACCATTGTTTCATTTACTTAATGGCAATAGAACATATCAACATAGCGTGAAACCTTCATATAGCTTTCCATGAGAGATTACAAGGTCACAATCAGCTGCTTTTAGAAAATCCAATCCTAATTGTACTTCTTCACTCTGACAATGTAAAACGTCTTCATTTTTAGGTTCAGAACGTTTTAAATGCATGCCACACCTTGATTCATTTGAAAGAGGAACAATGTTAAAGTATCACTGACAAATGTCAACAAAGCAACAACTGGAAGACATTTCAGCTTCAGCAGGGATTCTCAATATGAAGAGGCATTTCTTCAGTGTTGCTGAATGCCAGTGAGAATGACTTTACCTCTTCCTTCTCTCTCTCCTCTCACTCGCTCATCAAACATGCCGTTGTCAAAGCAGCAGTTGTTGAAGCTGTCAAATTCACCGTAACCTGGACACAGACGAACACAGCAAAGTTAAGCAGGGCTCATTCTTTTACATCACTAACTGAATAACTATCTCGGCAATTACTTTATAAAAACAACACCGGCTCCTCAGGATTAAATATCATTGTTGTTCTACTGTCTTTAGCACGGTACAATTACACCTTCTTAGAAATACAGAACTGTTCTTACCTCCTCCATAGCCCCCCCCGCACCTCATGGTGTCCATCAGAGCCCCCCCGCGGCCAGGCTCCGGCGCAAAGAAGCCTCTTCTGGGGCCCCCCATCATGGGTCTGTCGTAGGGCCCCGGCCTCTGGGCTCCCACCCCCTGGTGGGGCAGCTCGTAGTAAGCTCTGATCTCATTGCGATTGCTCTTAAAAATCTCTATGTACCTGCAATGCAAGCGGCCCATGAGGTGGGGGCGGGGGGGGGCAGAGGAGAGGGTTAGGGAGCAGAAATGGCTGAGCTCGGGTACATAAACAGATATTTACAGAGAGAGAAGGTAAACAAACACAAAACAAATATTCTAAATAGTGGTCTAAGTACTTTCTCAAAATGAAGATATCTCATCATTAACTGGGCTGTATTAAATAGGGAAACCCCTATAGCTCTAGATTTTACATGTTGCATTCAAAAAGTAGTTAGGAGCTTTAATGGTAGAGGCTTCCTTGACTAACCTCCTCTATACTATGCTTAATCCCCTCTGCAACAGCAATCTATCTGTAAAATGTAATAAAAGTTCTAAATAAAGTGCCAATAACATTATTTAATATACCCAAATGTTGCTCTAAAAAATAATAGCTCTCTTAGACTACCAACACATCTGCATATGGCATAAAATACTCACACCAATTTTCATTTATAGATTAGTTAAATTACCTTTCATCCCATTATTCAACATCTCACCATTGTTACAATACATAAACCCAGTAAACCCATCCCAATAACCATATCAATAATTATCACATGACCCACCCAATTCATATTTATCATTGTTTTACCATTATTATTCTAGCACACCAACCCATGCTTATCATTCAACCATCACAGTACCCATCCCATTAATACCATAATTACTCTTATAAGACCACCCATTAAACACTGCATTAGAAGCCCATCCCAGCCAGCCCGTCCCCTTCCCATCCGTCCCACCTGTGCCCTATTCTTTCCTTGTGTTTCCCCAGAGCCTTTTCTGCTATCTCCTTTGAGGCAAACTGCACGAAGGCTTCCCCTGTGCTCCTCCCCTGGCAGTCCACTGGCAGAGTAATCCCATTTGGCACGATTCTCAACCCTTCAACCCAAGCACACATAAATACAGAGGTCGGTAGGGAGACTGATAGATGTATGGAATATATATAACAAAACCCACTGCATATCTGGAGCTTTCAGGGTTAATGTACGTCATGAGGGGAAATGTAGTAGTATCTGATAAGACAGCATTAAAAGAAGCGTGAATTTAAACTTGTAAGCTGTCGGCAGGGGGATGAAACAAATACTGGGTTGTAGTCTGCAGCTATAACATGTAGGGGAATGCAGGTGGAAAACTAGCACAGCCTATCGTCGTTAAATGCCCTTTAGGAGGCATGACATCAAGGTCATGGAATATGCAGGTCAAATAAACTGTTGACGTAACACAAACAGAGTAACAGCAGGGCTGCACAATATGTCACAATCATTGAAAACTTGTGCAATTCTTTTTTATTGGTGTACTTTATGTATTTTTTTATACAAGCAATTTATTGTATTTTAGCCGAAAACTACAAGAAGAAAATAACGCATATTTTCATATTCTGGTTGATTGTGCAGCCCTGTGTAAGAGGCACACTAATTCCTAATGATGACAGATTGGTAAACAGTGTATACTACTACAAGAACATGACACAGACATTTTGGCAAAATAATACAACTTTGTAATACAAGTGAAAAGGACACATAAGAAAAGATAAATGTGTCAATGTTTATGCTTATGTTGTGGTGTGTAGGGTGATCAGGAAAGTGGAAAGCAGCGTCAAATTGTAGTTGGCAGTGGTTTGAATTTGTCATGATACCCGTCAGAAGCAGTACGTAAATGTAAAGTTGATTGTTGTACCAGTTTTTTACGAATATATTAAAAAACATTAAGACGTGATAATGAGATGGCTTTCAGTTCTACCTGGGCCTTTAGACTTTGAACAATGTAAGGAGACATTTTATGCGACACAGGGCTATACTTATATCAACAAGAGATGAGTGAAATGTTTGCAGAGCCTACATTCATCTGACAATCCTTCTAGTGGTTGTCTCATTTCATTGTTGCTCTTTTGCACATTTGAACCCTAGCTGTAGTTCTGCACACTAACACTGTGGTGTAGATAATAATAATAAGTCTGTAGAAAAATCCCTCAGATTGAAATACATTGTGGAATATCAGTACAATGCAATAACAGTTACAGAACTTTAAATGTTCACGTACCTGAGAAGAACTGAACGATCTCCTCCTTGCTGCAGCCGAAGGGAAGGCCTCTGAGTCGCAGCATGCAGCCGCTGCAGCTGTCGTAGTCAGCTGGCCCGCTGCGCTTCAGCACCCAGTCCATCTCACTGCGGTTCGACTTGAACACTGAGTCACACAGATAGAAACACACACGTCTGTTTTAACCAGAAATGCATTGAACTTGAGCCGAGAAAGAAAACGTTATATGCAATGCAAACACCCAGGAAGCCCCATCTGAAATGTCAGCAACAGGGTGAGTTGCACTTTGACCATATGAAGAATTGCTGCAATATATGAGATTACTGATACCAAGAGAAAGTCCACAAAGTTGAACTCTTACAGGTCCATTAGTGGGTTATGATCGGTTATATTGCTTACCCTCTATGTATCGGTGTCCCATGTATTTACGGTCCTTGGAGAGAGCAATCTTGAAATCCTCAGACATTTTCAACTCAATAAATGCCTCTCCACTGGGACGGCCTTCTTTAGAGTAGGTAAAGCACACTCCGTTTACTTTACCAACGATGTCACAGTCTGTAAATGATAATACATTTCCTTAGTACTAAGCCTACACCAAGACATTTCCTGTCATAGCAGAACATGTACAGGGTACAACTGAATGGATCTTATCAGAGCTATTTGGAGCTACAGAAAGTAGGATCCTAAAGTCCATGCTCTGTTCAACCTGAAAGTTCTCTAATGTGAAATACAAAGCATTTATGTGAGTTAAAGGTTGTCGCTTTATACTCTTTGACAAAGTCACAAATGAAATGTCACTTACATGTATGCAATTAATATGAAGGAAATAACATAAATATAATACTTTTATTATCTATTATGTTCACTAAAATGGATGAACAATTAAAAACATAATCCCAACTTCGACACCAAGCAAAATAGTTGAGTTAATCGAGATATCATTTCAATCTTACCACTAAATAGTTTTACAGCCTCAAGCTGTTAAAATGTGTGTATTCTTTCTCACCAGAGAAGAAGCTGGCGACCTCCTCCTGCGTGCAGGACCAGGGGAGTCCTCTGATCCGAACCACATATCCCTCTTCATTCATAGACATCCTCACTGCCAGAGAGCACAACAAAAGTAATACTTTTATTAAATACAAGTTTGCTTATGCAGTTTTTAAAAGAAATATCTAGAACTTTATTGAGTTTGTGTTTGCCATGGGTCCTTATTTGAAGTGTCAGCCACTATCAGGGGTAGGGGCAGCCTGTCCGTCACAGATGCTGCTGACAGATGTTGTCTATTTTAGTTGTTCAAAATAAGCATTTCAAATGTAACTTCCCTACAATAATAATAATCTTGATATAGACAATAAGAGCAGTCTGTTACTTTCATGTGTACAATACATTATAACCCAAGCAGCATCACCATGAAATATGCATATTATTCATTAACATCCTCAGTGCAATAATAACTTCAAGTATGCACACCATCAGCTCAGCAGGAAGCTGAGGTTATAAATAACTCTTTTTAATATGTGTGACACTAAACAACAGTGGTGTACCGTAAAGTAACTAAGTACATTTACTCAAGTATACCATTTGTACTTCTACCCCAATACAATTCAGAAGTAAATAGTTTACTTTTACTCCAATACATTTATTTAATACCTTTAGTAACTTTCGGTACGTATAATTAAGTATATTTTGATACCAATACTTTTGCACTTTTACTTGAAAAACATTTGTAATGCAGGACTTTTACTTGCAACAGAGTATTCCTACACTCTGGTACTTTTACTTCAGTACAATATATAAGTTACTTCTACCACCTCTGCTTGACAATTACCAATAACGAAAAAACTGTATCTGGAACCATGAACAGTATGCAATAACAAATGCCCAGTAGGTCATATTTGAATAGTTTAGCATTATAATGTCAACACAGTCTAAAACAAGCTAACATTTGTCACTTCCTCTTTCCAACTCTGTTGTCTCAACGTGTTGCTAGTTAACGTAACCAAAGTTCAACTTAACTTACGTTGAGATTTACAAACATATCCTAACAAGACGTTTACTAATTATTTGGTAAGATTGGTTGTTTGAAGGCCCCCACAGGAGAGTATTTGTCCGCCCGGGTGCTCTAACGATGCTAACGCCTCTTTTCTGTCAGGCAGCTAATGTTAGCAGCTAGCAGGCTAGCAGCTACGGCTAACTGTAGGACACTGACAGCGGTCAAACGTACAGGGCACACTAGTTCTTCACCCAACGGTCTAACGCTGTCACTGAGCATCAGAATAAACATCCACAGGCACACATCACTGTGTCAGAAGTGAGTGACAAATGTGTGAAAACGATGAAATTATCTCACAGTCGCCTCTCGTCCCCGGTCTCCTGCCCCTATCCCGAGCCTCAGGCAGCAGGTGTCACTAACGAGCAAACCCGCTCAGGTATGTTCTCGCGAGAGTTGGACAAAGAAAAGTCTTTTTTATACTATATATTTAATAATGACAATAGGACGTAATTCAGCTACATTGATATTTTAGGCATGAATGTGCTCACAAGTACTTGCAGGTAAAGTTCTCAGAACAATCTACGTGAATTAGGCATTCATCAGTTGCCATGCTCTTCCTTAGCTCACGGTAGTAGGCATACTGCTGCCTAATATTAAAAGAATGCTTCTTGAACTTGCTCAGGAGTGTTTGGAACTGCTGTTGCTCCTGGGTGCCCTCAACAATCTGTTTAACAGTTATCTTCACTGTTGGCCGCTCCTGGTCATTCATTGTTGCCTTATCTTCTGTCCCCCACTGAGTGTAGGACACCCTTTCTGCACTGTCATATACTTGAGAGTGGAACTGTTTTGTCTGCAGTGTTCACACTCCCCATACATACAGTCCTTTCTAGCAGTATCACAGCACACCATTTTAGTGAGATCCTCACATTGTTCTCTGCCAGAAATCTTCTGTGGAGGTTTCTTATTGTGTCTACAAGGAACCTTTTTTGCATCTTTACCTTGTTTCTTGTAATGGTTTGTTTTCTTCCTGTAGTTATCCTGCTGACATCATCTCTTGTCACAGGCTTTCTGGTAAATTTGCTTAGGCTATTAGTGTTCAAAAGGTTTCTGCATTTTTTTTAAACCCCCAGTGCATATTCTGACCATCTCTGCAGCCTATACTTTTTGACAATCTTTCCCACAGTAACCTTAGATATGATTTGCTTATCTCTTTCATGGTCTTTTGGTAATTTCTTTTGATGTCAGCAACAAGGGCTTCATGGAGAAGTAACGTTTTTCTGACCCATGCTGTTCACAGTACAATTCTTGACCAGTTCACGGACTTTGGATCTTTGAGATTCATTATGTGTTGCTGATCGCTGGAAGTGGAACCTCTTTTTGTACTTTTGAGTTATTTCTTCGCACAGTTTGTTTCTTGATCTACGGGATTGCTTTTTGTCCTCCAAACGTTGCCTAAAACAAAACCAGGCAATACATAATTAGCAAAACTCCAGCCCATATAAACATCTAATATGGACAAACTATAATATTTTAAGCAAAATTATAAACACTTGCATTGACACACACACACACACACACACACACACACACACACACACACACACACACACACACACACACACACACACACACACACACACACACACACACACACACACACACACACACACACACACACACACACACACACACACACACACACCAACACACACACACACACACACACACACACACACACACACAACACACACAACACACACACACACACACACACACACACACACACAACACACACACACACACACACACACACACATTTCCCTGACCTTGAGGACTCAGATCTGGGCTGCACTGCATGCTGAATATTAGGACTTTGTGGAGGAGTGTTGATATTGCTGAAAGCTTCCCTTTCTTTCTGTCTTCTTTTAGCTTTCCTCCACATCTTACGCTTCTGTCGTTTAGCTCTGTAACTCAGATAACTGATAGTTTTCTCTCTCCCCTCCTCAGTATTCCTTTTCCACCTCTTGCGCTCACTCCTGAGATCATTCTCCCTCCTATCTGGGTCTGCATTCCTTCTTGCCCTGTACTCTCTTTGCCTCTCTGCTGCTGTTTTTCCCATTGTGAAAAAAACATTAAGAATGATACAGACATTACCATTTAGTCATCTAAGAAATGTCAAACATTCAATGTGTTGAATGTGACAGGGTTGAAGTTCTTGACAAAAAGTAGCCATGAGACTTTGTTTAGCTAAGACATAGCACCACATGGAATTTAAGGACATCATAAAATGGTATTATTTTGCACAACTATTGCTTAATTTTTCCTAAAGAACTGTTGACTATAATGAATTCATACAACAGAGTTGAAATGTTGAGCTTGACAATCTCAATCTGACATTAAAAAAATGAAATATAGGTAAGAAAAGATACTGACACTTCTGTGATGTCACTCCCTCAATGCAGATGTCACATGGACTGATCCATTATTTTAATAGGGGGGTCAAATGTATAGCGTGACAGGGTTGAACCAAACTCGGGGACGTGTGTCAATAGTGCAATTTCATAGATAATTCATGTATTTTTTCAGATTATTTTTTTTCTCAGTTAAAGTACACACGCATATGATTATATTAGCGTCAAAATGTTGGTATAATTGGCAATTGCTATTTGTTTAATATTCAATGAATATGTGATGATGCTCAGTGAGGACATGCAAAAATGTGTGTTGTCAAAGACAACTAATTATTATAAAACAAAAACAAAATATATATATTTAGTTTTACATTGTAATCCAAAACACCCTGTTCCTTTAATTCAGTGCTTTAAAATATATTTTTGTAGTTTCCTTTCATTTAAAATCTTTGGGGGACTCAAAGGGCACCCGATAACGATGTTTATTTCTAATGGAGGCACGTTTATTTATACAGCACATTTCAATACAAGGCATTTCAAAGTGCTTTACTAAAAATGAGAAACATTAGGAGCATAAAGAAATAGAGCAGCAGAAACATAAACATTTACCAGGCCAATAGGCTATAACTTTAAGCAAATTGTTATGTAACTTTTGAATATAACTTTTCCAACTCTGATCAAAATGGCTTTTTTAACACAATGTATTAATTGTTTTGCTCGTCTTATGACAACAAGATTCTGACTCCAGGCAAACAGTTTATGCCTGAAGAAGGAAAACACGTGACGCAGAAAACAAACAATCAGGGCGTAAAGTCCATAGATATATGGTGAAGTCCACCGACTGCAGCAGGTCAACTGTGGGAAACCACATTGTCCTAAAGACGATTTAAGCTGCAAGTCCTTCTCGTATTTAGTCTTATCATAATGGAGATTCCAGTATTTACCGTAGATGCCTTTTCTAATCTACCGTTTAGGGGAAATCCCGCTGCAATTTGTCCACTTATGCATGTGAGTAATAATATTTAGGTAAAAGTAGGTCTACATTAATGTCATAATGCCATGCATATCGTATAAGTTGTTGCAATAGGGTTTATAAGGACGTAAAGACACTTCAACTTGCTGTTTCTAAATTGTGCATATCATTTCTTTTTTGTTCAAGGATCAGACTGCTCCTTGTAACTTTTTGATTATTTGGACATTATAGAGTTCCAGTTTTAGTAGCACATAATTCATAAAAAAGGTATAAATTACACAGCATGACATACATGTGTTTCTTATCAATCCATCCATGATCATGTAGCCTACCTCAGTGTTTAATTATTGTAACAATTTGTTTCAACAATCACTGTTTTTTTAACAGGAACTGACAGATGACTTGTATCAGAAGATAGCAGCAGAGATGAACCTGTCGGAAACAGTTTTCATCACCAGCATCAACCCGTCTGACAATTTTACCACAGGTGAGATAAACATTTTAATACATGTAGGATTTAAGATTTGTTTTATGGATTAAAAGATGCACCAGTCTGGGACAGGTTAGCATTTCATTACAATCATCAACCCATTGTTTAACAACTCATGCATTGTTATTGAGACTGGTTGAATGGGGATGAAGCAATAAAGATGCACATATCTGCCAGTGGCCAATGTAAAAGTGCCTCTACAGTAATCACAGTGTCCATTGTGCACAGTTTTATGGTCATGTGCCCATTCCAGCTGGCCTGACATACGGAATACTGTAAAAAATGTGCTAAGGGTGCAACTTTTTAAATTCTGTAGCTGAGAGTACAGTGCATAAAGCAAAGCAGACACAGGACAATGTCACAACACTGTACTTAATTTCAAGCAAACTGTTTCCCTCTTCATAATCTATAGAAAGCACCTCTGTGGAGGGATATGTGTAGACAAAAAGCACCGGTCTGACAATGTGATTAACAGGATCAAGGTTCCGACTGCGATGGTTCACACCAACGACTGAAGTGAATCTGTGCGGTCATGCAACTATGGCCTCTGCAGCAGTGCTGTTCAAACATAAGGGTAAGTTACCAAAAAACAAACAAACATGTACAGATCATCAGATTAACTTCCATTTATAACCCTTTTATGTATTTCTCTCTTAGAGAATGTGAATCCCAAACTGGTGTTTGAGACGAGGAGTGGAGATCTGGCTGTCACGCAGCGGGGGGAAGGGTACGTCATGGACTTTCCTCTCAACCCACCAACAAAGCAGGTTAGTTAGTAAACTTCAATAATATATCACTTATCAAAAACAGAGATTCCAATTTGTTAAAAGAATGACAAAAAGGCACAATAGCTATGTAAATAGCCTGAAGTAATTGAAGCCAAATACTTAGAACATCAGCCTTTATAAGTGGTGAATGCTAGAACTGCGTTTTGTTTTTTTGAAACCCAGAATGCAATAAACACACCCTGGACTAGCAGTGCAAAGTTTTTCAGAAGAAAGTGTTTTCAGTATCCTTTGCAATGCAGTAATTAAGAACACAACACAATTATTCAAACTTAATTTTCTTCTAAACACCTGTTTTCTCAGGATGCCAATGAGTTCAAAGACATCTTAAAGGTAAGTGAGATGCCTACTCTCTGAGAATATGCTTTACAGCAGACTCCTGCTTCACCGTCTACATTAACTAGGCTACTCTCTCTGTGCAATATTTGCAACGTGATTACATTTCTGTGTATTTTGTGTGTACATTATTTTCTTCTTCCCCTTCAGGCTGCAGTTGGAAACCACCAAATCCAGGATGTTTATCTGTGCCCCATCACTAAGAAACTGTTGGTTCGACTGTCTGACAGCTGTGAAAGGTTACCCCCCACACACACACACACACACACACACACACACACACACACACACACACACACACACACACACACACACACACAACACACACACACACACACACACACACACACACACACACACACACACACACACACACACACACACACACACACACACACACACACACACACACACACACACACACACACACACACACACACACACACACACACACACACACACACACACACACACACACACACACACACACACACACACACACCACACACACACACACACACACACACACACACACACACACACACACACACACACACACACACACACACACACACACACACACACACACACACAGTGACTCTTCCTTTGTGCTGCATGTGTTTCCTGCAGGTCAGTGCTCACCAGTCTGAAAGTTGACGCTGCTGCTCTTCAGAGAAGCGAGACGAGTGGAAGAGTCAAAGGACTAATCGTCACCATGAGAGGTAACCGGAGCTTTAAAACATTAGATCCTTTGGTTAGTCTTTAGTTTTATGATTTGTTGGGCCGGACCACAGGCTGTAATCTTAAATATAAAGTAGTTCCAAAGACATGCAGACTATTTTAAGATATAAGTAATAGATTACTGTTCCCTAAAATGCCATGCTAAACTATTTTAAGTTACACTTTTTTAGTTTGTCTTTATGTTGCATCTCACTGTGAGTGGTTGACACGATCATATTATACTTAAATTAGTAGTTATAGCACAGTGTAAGAGTACTCTACTAGAAGTGAGAGTCCTGCATTTATTATTCTCACAAGAAAAAGTACAGAAGTAGTAGCATCAAAATAACTTTTAAGTGCTTAAAGTAAAAATACACATTATGCAGAATAATGTGTATGTATGTGCAGAATTGCCAGTTTAGGAATCATAGCCTATTGTACATTCTTCTAATATATTACTGTAAAATAATTGTACAATAATATATTTTGAACTGGCATATTTGAAATGTATATTAGTTGATATACTACTGGGTAGCTTGGGGATCAATACATTCTTATTGCAGGTCTCCCTTGAAAAAGAGATCGATGATCTCAATGGGACCACCTGGTTAAATAAAGGTTTGAAATTAAATTGAAATAATACCATCATTTGTTAATTTTATTTTGTATTGATAAAAAGCTACTAACTACTCAAATAAGTTGATGTAAAGAACAATATTAGCCTCTAAAATGTAGTTTTAAAGACTATGAAAGTAGAAGAAAATAGAAATCATCAAGTAAAGTATCATACTTCTAAGGAACTGGAATATACCAAGTCAACAAATATGATATTGTAAAAGAACACTATCGAGACGAGGCCTGTGTGAAAACTACAAGCGATGGTTAATAAAATCGTTATTCATCGTTATTCATGATCCACCAATAGGATCCCCAGACTGCCAGCCAGGATACGACTTCTACTCCAGATACTTTGCTCCATGGATGGGCATCGCTGAGGATCCTGTCACTGGTACACTAACATTAAAACTACAAACACTTCTACTGCTGCTGTTTCCCCTAGAATCACACAATCTGACTTAGTTGGCCTGCAGTGTGTGTATGGGGCAACATTGTAAAATACTCTTATAATCAAGTAATCCAACCCATTGCTATACAAGCAACAGGTAGGCTATTGGCTAAACACTATATGTGTCTTTGGAAATGTTTTATCCGGTTTTGTCTTTTGTCTCTCCGCAGGTTCTGCCCACACAGTTCTGGGTAGTTACTGGTCTAAGGAACTAGGAAAGAAGAAAATGCTAGGTAATTAATTTAAACTAATTTCACATTTACATTCACTTTGATCAGCATCTCTAAAACAAATGTAATTTAACTAACCCATAGAGGCAACTATTTTTACCAACGATTCAACAATGTGTTATTATAGTAATAAACACCTGTTATCAAGTTAAACAGCCCTCGATTATTCAGCTGAATCATGCTGACACTCATATCCCCCGCTCTGTGTTTGTGCAGCTTACCAGTGCTCCAGTCGAGGCGGGGAGCTGGAACTAGAAGTGAGAGACGACGGAAGAATCAACATCGCTGGACAGGCCGTCACTGTGCTGCAGGGAACAATCACACTATAGCCACATGCAGGCTAATGAGAGCAGGGGGGGATGGGACAAATCATTATGTGCCTGCTCAGAGAAGCAGACGCATGCTTTGTACGATGTTATCAAAAGTAACAAGACGTGGTTTCAATAAAAAGCAATGCAAAGTCGTGTCAAGTCTGGTCAATCTAATTTAACATCTGACAGGATTGAAAAAACAATTCACACTTTGATAGTATTTATTTTCTTTATTTACAAAATTAAAAAAGTAACAAAACAGTGAGAACATGTAAAATCAGAGGGTGTATTGGGTGAAAAACAGATCAACGGTAGAATCACAGTTGGCTTGGGTCGGGATGTTCTCTGACTTGCTCTAATAATATATATAAAAAAATCTGTCATCAGTTGAATCTTCACAGTTTGTCAGCATCAGGTTACATATGAACATTACATTGTGATTTCCTACACACTCCTTGAGGTTTTCTGGTTGTCATGGTACCAGGCAGTTTCCTTTGTAAAGTTTCGCAGCATTAGGTTTGCATTTAGATGAACGCAAAGGAATTGACTCAAATAAGCTTTTTCTGTAAAACAGTATAACATTTAAAGCTGCTCGATAAAGACAAAATAATGATTGATTTATATCAGTTTGTTATTTATATTTCAAGTCGTTAAGTCTATTCACAGAATAAAACAGAGTACTGTTGATGCAATATTTCTCATCAAGTGTGAATAAAGTCCAGTGACCACCACAAAATAAGAAATGACAGCAAAATGTTTAATTTAGGACTGAAAATGACTGATGTAGCTTCACTATTTTTCAGACAAGTTTTTCCTCCTCCAGACTGCGTTTCAGTTAACGGATTAGTTGACATATTTGAGCTTATCTGACTGATGAACTGTAAGATGTTTGGTCCTGTTCAGAATTAAGAATGACTTACTGTGTTGTGTGTGGAAAAGTTTAGAGAAAGTACCGACAATGAAGTCTTAATTATTGTCACAGTGTATTGACAGAAGTATTTGAACACCAATATCTGAGTCTATGAATCCTGATCAGTCCTAGTTGAGGTTTGATGCACCGTACAGTCATCCAAGCAGTTTCAGTTAAATACATTTGAACTTTACCACCATGTTACAGATGCTCTACTCTTTAGCTATTTTAAAAGTATATTGTTTCACAGCATAGACATTAAAAATTGACACTTTTGATATTGGAGTACTTTTAGCGTGTATTGTATTTTTAAAGGAATCGGCAAAGAATTACAGCTGAAGCCTAAAAGCCTCTATGAGGTCTTGCTATTTCCCTTCCACTTGTATCAGTATGAATGTTTAGAGCCAAAACAGAACATTTATCAGCACAAAATGTCGCAAGAAATGCTGAATGGTGCATATGCTTCAATATTTAAAAAATTGTATACAACAAAGACACCAGAGTTTCCTTGGTGCTTTAGATAATAAAGACTAATTAAAAAGCCTGGTTTCCTCAGCTTGTCCTAGTGTGTTGATTAATGTATCGGTTATACATTGTTAAACTTTTAGCGGAATGTTATTTTTGTTTCAAATATTGACAGTATAGCTATAAGTAGGTTTTGAATTGTTGACAACTGATCCCAGCCTCCAGATCATTGAGTGCATTTGCAGATTGGCATTCATCCTCTGCCCTGTTGAGTTGATCCACAGCGACAGGCTGCTCCACTGAGACACATCGGCGCTCTGAAAACACCACCATGTCTTCAGAGGGTCTTTCACAGGGACATGCTTTGTAAAGCCATGTGGGCTGCTGGAGGGAGCTGGATAACGTGAAGTAAAGGTTCAGGAAAACATTGTGTAGACACAAAATACAATGACATCAACAACAAAGAGGAAATGTGGCCAAATGTATTGATAAATGTATTATTATAAAAGTAAACATCTGGCATACATTTTTTTACGTATATATGTAGATTTTTAAAACCTCCTGATTCTAAAATATTCAGAAACAAATTGGCCATTATAAAAAAAACCTGATACATTTTTTTATTTAATTAGTGTCACTTTAGGACATTTCAATAAGCCGGCCAGCAATTAGGCTTAATTCTAATGTACAGCACTGACGAAATTTTGCAATTTTTGGAATACATGACAAGTGCTAATGCTAACAGTAGTTTCATTGTAGAGTAATTAAATATCCATGTATTATGTTAATGAAGGATATCATGTTCTCTTGCTGGAGATGGCTGAGGAGTTTCTCTACAGGTGCGTAGCGTCGCAGCGTTGAGATCGAACCCACCATCAGCAGCTTGTGTTTCGCCCTGGTGATGGCTACGTTCAGGCGACGCCAGTCCTTCAACAGCTCTCCTAACTAGGAAAGGAGAGGCAGCAGATAGAGGTTATCATTCAGATACTTCTCTCCTGTTCATATGCTTGTCGACTGATGCACATTTTGTGGCACAGAGAAGAGGAAAAAGAGTAAAACACTTACATTTCCATCCTCTGAAGTGCTCCTGACAAAAGAAAAAACGATCAGACTTTTGTCTCGTCCTTGGTATCTGTCGACTGTATTCACCTCCACACCTGCGAACGCAGGGGACAGCAGCAGAGCAGAGATACTCTTTAGCTGCTGTCTGTAGGGGGCGATCACACCAATATCACTGGGCTTACAACCCGCCTGGAGAAAAGTTAAATATCCAGGGGTTAGTAAGATAACTAGCCGTATCAAAACTTGAGCACCGCTTGGGAAACTGATGTACCTTTATGAGCAGTGACAGCAGCTTGCGAATGAGAGCCGCCTCGGTGTGGTTGCTGATGCCTCCCTGCTCCACAGACTCCAGTGCTGGCACCTACATTAAGCAGTGGAGAAAAACAAGATGTTGATTAGCACACCTTGATTCTTTTTCTCACGATAACAGCCCTATTAAAAAGAGCAATATTGTTTCATGTAAATTACTTTATTTTACAGTTAAAGCAGCTTGACCTTTACCAAGAAGCAGAACAAATCAAGGCTTTATTATTGAGTCTACAAAAAATAGCCAAATGTGTCTATGAAAACATCTTTAAGGCGTATCCAAACATTTTAGATGGAAGATGCTTGACTATCGTAACAGAAGTCATTTGTATGCTGCATGACATTCACAGAAGCTTTAGACAAATTAAAACTAACTAGCACCTTTATTAAAAGCTTAAATATTCCAGTGAAATATCAATAGCTTCTGCTTGATGTGCACTGTATATTCCACGCACCATGGAGCAATCCAGGAAGCAGACAGGGCGGCTGGGCAGCAACGTGTTCTGTATCCAAGCCAGGTCGAGCTCTGGATGAGTCTCAGCGTACGCACTGAGCTCTGATTGGACGGACAGCAGGAAGGGCAGAGTGAGCAGGGACGAGGCCGTCTTCTCCGATCCACACTCCAGACGGCCCTCATACATCAGGGAGTTACTGAGAGACATGATCTGCCTGCAAACACAGAGCACACACACTGTTGATTATTGTGGGATTGTCATGTTTTTCTAAAGTTGTCACATTAATATTTTCTCTTCAATGCTAAAGCAAGCATTACCAGTTTATCTTAAGATCAAATTATATTCACAACAAATAAACAGGAACATATTATTGAAGCAAGCATTGTTGTCTGTGATTGCATTTGTACCTATTCATCCGGTACTGTACATTGAGTTGGACCACTGCTTCATCATGGAGCTCAAGTCGTTTAAATAGACTTTCATCCATGCCAAGTGACCTGGAGGAAAAGAAAGAAATGTAAAACTGTTGTTTATATTAAGGTCAAACTCACATGTTGAAGCTTGACCTTAACTTAATGTCAAAACATTTCTCATGTTTTAACTTTATAAAAGACAAATAACTTAAATAAATGTTATTAACACAGTATTTTTGTATTGTTTTATCAACATACACCATCTGCAAACACACACACTTTACCTGGCCTCCTGATTTTGCACTATTGGTGGCAGCTGTTGGTGATCTCCAACCAGGACGAATCTCTTGGCGTAGAACAGCGGTCCCAGACAGATCGGCTGGCTGATCTGTGAAGCCTCGTCTATGATGCAGAAATCAAACCGCCGACGTGTGAATATGGGATGCTTGATGCCCATACAGGTGGTTGCCACGACCAGCTAGACAGAAAGACACAGAGAGAGAGACAGGATTGTTATGAATGGTAAAAAAATAAATAACTCACTTTATGGAAGAGTTTTTTTTTGTATTATGATGTTTACATGAAGTCAGTTGCAAAGAAAAAATTGTAAAAATATTCCATACAAAACTCCTCACCTCCTTGTTATAAAGCTGCTCCAACTCCGAAAGAGACTTAACTCCCTTCTTTCTCGCACTTTCCTCTGTGTAAGGCAGGATGTCTGGATGAACCTGGAGAGCGCAGCAGAAACGAGGAAAATCAGAGGGTTCTAAATAAAGAGTTGTAGGCTGCGATTGAACACTGTTTGTTGCTTAGGATGAAATGACCAAGCAGCATCTTTAGTGGCAGCCATGATGAGAGCTGTTTGTATTATTTCCTTTAGCATTTAGCATAGAGTATACTTGACCAATCCTTAACAAAAAAAAAGGGGATAATGCAATCCCACAATTTCTTGTTGCATCTCCATGTCAGACTCGCGTCATTAAAATCCTCTTTCCGCAAATGTACGTAGACTTGTCGGGTCAGAATCTCTTAGCACCTTGATTGCCTTATTCTGAAGTCCTTATGAATTGTCCTTCACGTCTTTCCTTGACACCATGACGATTAACGTCGAGGTCAAGTCAATTTTGACCTATTTTTCGTACTTTACTGAATAACAGATGTCAAATAGCCCACCTTCAGCCCTTTCCCAAGACGCAGAAATCCAACCCGGAAACGCTTTAACTTCAGCAGGATGTTGTCAACAGCAGAGTGGGTGTAGCTGGTCAGCAACACGCTGAACCCACACGCGTGAAGGATGCGAACCTGAAAGAGTACAGAGAGGTGGAGAAGAGAGAGTAAGAGCTCTGTTCTCACTGGGAAGGAGATCATTTCCGTCTCAGTTCACAGATCGTGGTTAGGAGTTTACCAGGGTGCAGATGGTTGTGGTTTTGCCCGTGCCTGGCATGCCGACGATCAGCGTGTAGTCTTTAGATAACAACACCTTCTTCATGGCCTGCTTCTGGGGTTTGTTAAGACCTACACACAATCACACAAATGCATCAATTTAACCGACAGGCATTCTCTATTGTCTTCATGTAAGAAAGTCATTCATAATTTATTAAATGTTAGAAAAGGTTCAACTTAAAAAAGTATGAAACTATAACTGTGCAGTTTTTGGGGATTAAATGGTTACCCTACAATAACTGAAAGTAAAGCTAAATGTAATATAGAAATGGGCAAAAATAAATAATGAGACAGGCAGCATGGAAGAACAGAGCAGGTTACAGAATATCTGTCTCACCTTTGAGGATGTTGGCCACAGTGTCCTTGGCCTCTCTTGGCAGAACAGAGCTGAGGTTGGAAATAAACTCTGGAGGACGAAGGTCAACGACCAGCTCCCTCAGACGATCACTGCAAATATAAAATGCAGGACGTCATCATCTTCAATGTCACCTAGTTAATTTCCTACATACATACTATGCCATGATAACTTTGCATTGCTGCATTTTGCTGTGCCTACCTGTCCTTACTGTTTACCATCAGTCTGGAGAGATTGGTGAGGTGAGTGCTGAGACCCACCACACCTTCATCAGCGTCCAATCGAAACAACACGCCACTGAACTTAGACAGGTCTCTAGAAAACACAATGAACAGCAAAACAGGTGTTCATCAGGTTATTGACTTTTAAATGAGCAGCTTGTAAAGGAAAAGTCCAACTATTGGCTGTCCTATAATCCATCTTTGGTTGAAATATACTTCAGCAAGCATGTTTAGAGAGAGCGAGAACAGCCAAACATTCGAATAAACGCCCAGGGGAAATCAATTAGCACCAGATTATGCAAATAAGGGCAGAAATGCAACAAAAAAAAGAAAACCTGCAGCCTATATATACACCAGTTGTGAAGTTGATATGGCTCCTTTTTTTGTGTTTTGGAGCTTATAAAAACTTAAATCTGGGTTCTTTGTTGTGTTTGGTAGTGCATCCCACCACACAGCATCTTCAAAGCATTTTTCTGTTTTTTTGATGGCCTACAGATTTGACAAGTAAGCTTCACACAATCCAGAGTCGATGGAGTACTAAATCGTTTTCTCTCACAGAAGGGGTGGGACTTAATTGTTTTCACCTGTCCAGAGTGCAGCTGATCGATGTCCTGCTGACCTCACACAGGTATCCTGTTGCTAAACCAACCAGACGACCTTCCTGGTCGCTAACAACGATACGATCTCCGCTGGCCAACCCGCTGCTCACCAAACTCTTCTGTGGCACTGCGCTGCTTCTCTGGAAGCTATGGAGGAAAACCCCTTCAGACTGCACGGTCACCGGGCCGCTCAGCTGCACATTCCCCACACAGCTCCCATTCTTCTCACTGGAAAAACAGAGCAGAAAAAGCAAAGGATGCATATTAAGTATAATACAGTATGGTTTTATGGCAGGTGTTGATTGTAATGGAAGTGTTTACATGTCTTTTTACCTCTCCTCAGGCTTCTCAAGCCACACACGCTTTCTGCCATTCTTGGCCTCCATGGTGCCAGCCTCAAGGCAGCAGAGCAGCAGCCAGTGGGAGAAATAGCTTAGATGAGGTGGGATCAGGTGACCCGTCTCCTGCTGGAGGAAGTCACGCACAACATCCTCACAGTCGTCTGCAGAGCTGCCGTCAAGAGACCTGAAGGTAGAGAGAGGACAGTTTAAGTTCAGTCGCACAATTAAAAATACACAAAGATAGATGAAATACAATGCAGGAGGAAGTAGAGAAGGAGGAAACAGGGGCAATAAGACAGGAAGTTGTGAGAATAATGACAAAGAAAGCTTACCTTTCGTATAAAGCACAGTTTCTCTGCTGAGGACAGTACTGGCAGGTTTGTCTGTCGGTCAGGATGTCAGGAAGTCGAGTCAAACGGCTCCGCTTCGCCTCTTTCTTCACACAGTTGTGAATGTGATGAACCAAAGTGTTCCTCAGCTTCAGCAGCTCTGAGACAAACAGAGTTCAGCATAAAAGGTGATGAAGGAGATGCTGCTGTGGATTCATCATTATTTCAAGCAAACAAAATGTGATTGTAAATTAAGGTTGTGGTGGTAAAATAATACATGTATGATAATATTGTTTAAAAATATCAAGGCACTCTTAAAAAATGTCCATGTTTGCTTCTTCCAACACAAATAATGATTTGATTATGATTAAGTGATGAATATTATGATACATAAATATTCCCCTAGAGAGAAGAAAATCATACATCTAAGAAAGGATTGTACAATAATTAATGAAATAGAAAGATGTTTTAATATTATTGTAAACAGCTGGTGTTGGGCAGGTTGTAAACGTGTGTGTGGACCGTACCTCTGCGGTCCATGTGGCCGGCCACCACAGGGTGCAGGTTTCCGGTCTTCAGGTAGAGCAGGAAGCCAGCTTCAGAATTGTATCTCTCCAAGCTCATCAGAGTGTAAAGAATCACCTACACACACACAAGGCTTATTCAAGGTTTTCAAGGTTTCAAGGCTTTTATTGTCATGTGTGCATAGCTACAGTGTAGTTATGACAATGGCAATTTTAGGTCACAGGCTCCTCCAACAGTGCAACACAATAAAACAGATAATAGTGCAAGTAAATTGAATATAATAGAAACAGAATATAATAGAAACTGTGCAATTATAACTATTTTGTATATCCTGTATGTTTATATTAGAAACATACATATGGTATACGGTCCTGCACTTCTGCTTTCAACATAAAGATATTTACAGAATCAAAATTCCTTCATATCAGTCAATCCTAACAAAGTTCAAAGTAATCTACAGATAACACCAACCTGACTGCGATGCTCTATGGAGTTTGACTCTTTCCCAGTTTTCAGCTCCAGGGGGATGGTCTTCTCCTCCAGCCTTCTGTAACTACCACTTCCTGGTTTTTGGATTCGTACCCGTGCCGTCACGTCGATTTTCCCTTTCAGACCAAACCTGGGTGACCACACATTCTCCTCTATATCTGCCAGCTCTGCTACCGTGACAACCATCGCTGAGTCCTGACATCTGCCTGGAGCTTTGCTGTTGCTAGGGCTGAGGTGATTGAAAGAGGCAGATTATCATCTCTTTAAAGTGACGAATCCTTAGCAACAATCAATAAGGCTTTCGATAAAGAATATTTGAATAGTCGTTTTCTTGTTATAGTAATTATTTAATGCAAAAATTGCAGAAAAAAAACTGATTTTCTCAGTTTTATGTCATATTAAACTGAATATTTAAAATACCGTTTGTAATGGACTGACAAAACAAGATATTTAAAAGATATCAGCTTGAATCAACATTTCTCTAGAATAAAAAAAGTAATCTAGAAAATATTTGGCAGATTAAACAATATTGAACGGCCCAAAAGTGTGTGTGTGTGTGTGTGTGTGTATACATTTTGATGCTGATGGCTGTTGGCGATGAAGAGCTGAGGTACTGCTTTGCCCAACGCTCCAGTGAGGGCAGATAATCGTGCAGTTCCTGCTTCATCTCTTCTTGACTCACACCCAAACTGTACCTACAGACAAAAAGATGACAAGGACAAATAACTGAGCAAGACGGAAACAAATTTCAACAAGTGAAATACGGAAAGCACCTTTTTGCTGTTATTTAGTTAATGGTTAAGTTTTTTTTGTAAAACAGCAAATGTTATAAATTCACACAGAAAAAGGTCTGCAGCAGCCTATTGGGTACAATCGAACCACTTACATATCTACCAGGTACTGAGGACTGCATAGGGCTTGGTCTGCCATTTTAGTCAGTGTCTCCAACGAAAAGTCTTTAGCTCTAGCTGCCCTCTGGAAGACCTCATGGACAATGGTGCCATTCAGCATCTGTTTGGAGCCACCGTCAAAAGTCTACATCAAGGGAGAGAGAAACCGAGAGAGCAGGAGGTATTGTGGTAAGTGTACTGTCCAAAAAACATGAAAGCACAGGTAGTGATAATATAGTTAGTGAATCCTCTTACCTTGAACATGTCTGCCAGTACTGCACGCCTCATGCAGCGGATGGAGTTTGAGATGCTGGTGCCTGAGATAAGGCTGTCAGGCAGTAAAACCAGGAAGCCCTGCTCCCTGCCCACCACCCAGGAGCCCCCGTCAGAGACCCCCTCCAGATGCACCACATCCCCACAACACACTGGGGTCATCTCCCTGCAAACACACAAGGAGTTATTACTTTATACAGATATAAAGAGACACACAAATATGCATAATGAAGACATAGAAGCAAATATACAGATATACTGTCTATAATAAAGTCGAGAAGTCAGTGATTCCTCCAAACATCTGGGCTGCACCTGGGCAGGGAAGAAGCGATTTACGATACGCTGAAAAAAGGATTTGAATAAGGCCTTTTCCAGACTAACAGGTCAAGATTGATTTTAGCACTACAGATCAAAACCACTTTTGAAGGTGGTTCGAAATGCAATTCAAATACAATTGCTAAGGGTGTCTTTTACAACAACACACACAATGGGCTACTTTGCGTGGGGCCGCACACTTCTTGCTGCACTTTTAAATGTTGCAAAGACCTCAGCAGGGAACATTGCATCACATCAACTCATGAAGAAGCTAGTGACACACAAAGGACTGAACACTTCATAAAACTGATGGACAGTCTTTCAGTCTGAACATAGCAACCTAACAGTGTTAACAGACAGAAGAACAGAGAGCCATACCATCCATCTTTCAGCAGACACGTCTCAGTTGGATGTTGAGATTTGAAGCATGTGATGGTCAGGGTTTTTTTGCCAGGCTTCTCCTCCACATCTAACACCCAGTAGCGGTTGTTAAGTCCTCCAGAAAGAATCACATGGTCTGGCACCTTACTGTATGAGCAGACAGGATGTATATCAGATAAGCTTGAGTTTTTTTGAAATCGTCATGCATCATTTCCCAAAAAAAACTAAGCCATTGCACACCTGAAGAATAAACCTATCATTTCTTGTATCCTTGGAAACTTTCCAGTTACAAACTCACTTTCCTATGAGGTTACTAAAAGTCACACACTAATTTACTAACACAGCTTTCCCCCATCTTATCAGTCACAAAATCAAGTTCTTCAACCTGCATGTGTTACATGCTCTTCCCCCTCTGCAGCCAGTGTGTTTCTTACCGTGGTTTTTTGGATTTCTCCTCTATGACAAGACCTTCCTTATTGTCCATCAGGTCATCAAACCAGCTGTCGTCCACCATCTCTTCCGCAGGACCGCTTGACGTCATTCCTGGATTTTCCACTGTTAAAAAAATGATCATAAAACCTTATCATAGAAACTAGCTAAATAGTAATGTTTGCATGTATACTGTATTGATAAACTATTGATCTCTTAGAACTCTATCAGCTTACCTCCAGCCTGCTGCTGATCAGATGATGTCGGGTCGTCTCCATTGGATGTCCGTGCTGCTGTTGTAGCTCCTGCCCTTTTAAGGTCAAACTCTCGCGGCTCTACACTTCTCTGCATCGCCGGTGAGATACTTTGCACACTAGGTTTATGCATGTGAGCAGTAAGAGTGTGAGTATCTTTATCCGGACGAGTGTGTAGGTTTCCATTTGCTTTCTGCCCCGTTATCACAGTAAAACCAGTATCTTTCTCCTTTTCATCTCTCTCTTTCTGACGTTTTCTCTGTTCCTCTAAAACCTTTCCCTTTTCATTAGAGACAGACTGACCCTCTGATTGGTCACCGGGGCAACGAGGTGTCCTCAAAGGGCCAACTGGCTTTGCTGGATTGGCATTTCTTGGTCTTTTGGCATTGTGAGACTCTTGAGGAGGGCTGATGACTCTTTTCACGGAGGCAGAGCATCCCTCTTCCCTCTTTGCGTGTCCTCCCTCCTCGTCCATAACTCTCCGTGCTCGTTGACCTTTAGATCGGGGACTACGACAGATGGGTGACAAGTGGCCGAGTTTCTCCAGACCCGCCACCAAACCTCTGCCGGGCCGGGGGCTCAGTCGACCTCCATCACTGGATGAAGAGGACGAAAGCTTGATCTGACTGTCGGGGGTCTCGGGTACAGAGAGGAGGAGATCTGGGGAGAGGGGTTGAAGGTTTTCCAGATCCCAGAGGATGCTCCTCTTTAAGGGGGAGTGGGGTTTTAACGTGGAGGTTTGGCCATCTGTGATCTGAGGTTCAGTCCTGGCAGGTGCAGTGCCAGTGACGGGTAATTTTGCGGAAGACAACACGTCCTAAAAGCAACACAGTCAAATTAGTAAATGGTAATATATAATTAATTCTCTGTTTATGTGAATCAAAGAGAAATGCATTAAAGCACAATAAAAAAAGAACATTAAAAAAAGAAGAGTGAAGCGGAACCAACTTCAAAAAGGTGTTTAAGAGAAAAGAAGAATTTACTGCCCACAAAAACAAAAACACAAAAGCACAGAACCTCTGAACCTATGTTATTGTTTTGAGAGTTTATTGTGTTTTATTTGACTAATATATACATTAACATTAATGATATCTCAAATTGTTCATCTTCCAAATAATCAACAATTAAAATAACTTATAATGTCTACATAAGGTTTAGAAAAGGTACTGACTTATAGAAATAAAGGAATCATAACAAATTGAAAAGACGAGAAAGAAACAATTAACGAAAATAAAATGTACCTTCTGGTGATTTTGGGAGAAGAAAGATAAGATGTTCTTCTGCCCTCCTGGCGCCTGACGGAAACAAAACAAACATTACTGGTGCTTTTAACGCTCGTTTTTAGTCAAACTGAGCATATGGTTGAAATGAAAGCAACATTTCAGACTGTAGAAAAGCTCTTCCTGCACATAAGCTTCCCTTTAAGTCATCAGTTACAAAGGATGTCATAATCTTATGGTTTATGTCTAAATGAACACAAAAAGACTCACAACACATGCAAGTTACATGTATATCCAATAGGCAATTAAGAACCTGATATATATTGTTGTTTGTATTTAACTGTGTCAGTAAGGTGTTTTATCTTTGTGATAAATGTCAATAGTAGGTGAATTATTACGTTCAGTATTAAGGGCTACTGTATATAAGTCTCATTTGAATTCAGGCTCATTATTTGACAAATGCATCTTAAGCTCATTGTTATTATTTTGGGCACTGGGGAGATCTCATGCACATTATATACAAAACACTTCCTTACACTACAGTGTTGGCAAGGGGGAACACATGCTGCATTCATACACAGCAATCAAACCAGGCAGAGCAGAACTGAGCTGAAAAGAGACTGAAGGGCTAATGATCGGTGACAGCTGCTACAACTAACCGTCTGATTAGAGGCGTTTTTAAGAGTTACTGTTGAATTCCTCGTCATGTTTTCATATGAAATAAACAGCTCGTTAATCCTTCTCTACTCACCTTGGTATTCTTCAGTTTGGTCCTGTTCATGGTGTCTGGTTAAACGCAGCCGTGTGTCTGTATTTATCTGCGTTTCTTCGCTAGAGCTGTTTATTAGCAATATGTTTTGAACGAACGGATCAACGGTGTTGTCAACGGAAGGCTAACCTCCTCGGCTTCTGCTAACGACACAGAGACTATTTTACCAAACTTTAAACTTCTCTGCATCTCCACAGCAGGGGACTGCGTGAGTTAGTATTGACTTCACTAACAACGGTACTGTTCCGTGACAACCACCGGACTGTTTCAATGTTTTGCAGCCATCTTCTTGGTGGTCTTTAATTTGTTTCCAACGTCTGGCGCGCCAAAGTTTTAGTTTCGCGCAACGGAAGTGGCGACAGAGCACTTCCGCGTAAACGTTTTTAATCAGCGACAGAATAAAAAAACGGTTACCTGACCAAACTCTAAAAGTAATAATTAATCGTTATACATTTAGTTAAATAATTAAACGAACCATTATTGACCACACTCATAGTTCCTATATTCAATGTAAAACACATTATATTATTGTTAAATGACAAACAACACTCTGTTAACCAAGCATAGATGTATAGCAGGGGACTTTAATATCGGACTTTCAACTAATAGCTAATGTGCCTTTATAAATTAGAGTTAATTAACATGATAACATGCTCCTTTCTTAAGTGCAAACTGTTTCTATTAACAACCTGTATTATACGTTTGGCAGAGTAATGCTACTGTAGTAATGCTTTTGGAAGATAATGCATCTCCATAAAAATACGTGTTGTACTGTTTATGTTTAATGTGCAGCGTTTAAAACCCTATTTCCTCAGGCAGGTATTTGGGTATGTGGTATATGGTATATAAAGTATAGTATTACCTCATGTGCTGTAGGTAGGTCAACTTATTTTCCAGATCAGGTTCCACAGTTCTGGTTGATATTCCATTGTTTGTCTTTAATATGGACTTTGAAAAGGCTGTTGCAGAGTTTATGAGGCAGTTGATCATTAGTCCCACCCTCCTGTGCTCTTATCTTTGGAAAACAATGATTAGACTCAGGGACAGTTTTATCATGAGGCCATAAGACTGTTCAACTCCTGAGCTCTGCTTAGTGCATTGATTTATAACACTGCAATACTCATCTGTGTATAGGACACTTTTTAATTACATGTTCATACAATAAAGAGCACGTTATTCTTTTGTACAGTTTTTAATTTTGCAGTCCATATTATCCATGTATATAGTTTATTTATTCCTATTTACTTGCACCATTGCGTTACTTGCACTATTTTATTGAACTACGCAACGCAACTAACCCTAGAAATAATTCAGCTCAGGGATTGGACCATTTGAAATTGTTTGTTTTAATTAAAATAATATACAACATTTACAAACACACTTTAAGGCATTATAGACAAAATTATTACATTTTGAGGTCAGTTCAAATGCCGACTTCCTTCCTTCTTCTTTTTACCTTGTTTGACAAGTTTAACAAAAAGAGGTTTGAGAAATAAGTGCGTTGAACACAAATTATTTTTCTTCACGAGACCATTTATATAAATGTTTCCATAATTAGTAGTCCATGATCCTACAGTACAACACATTAGGAACAACGTGGATAAAATGGTGTGAGTTTTTATCTTATCCATTTCCTTCTCTCAAATAAATACCATGGAGTACGTCTAGATATTCTCTCCTGTGTGTGTCTTCATATGAATAAGTAAATGGGATCGCCGAATGAAACCTTTCCCACAAGCGGTGCAGCTAAACGGCCTTTCCCCTGAATGCGTCTTCATGTGGCGCGTGGGATTAGACTGAGCACTGAATTTCATATCACAAACAGTGCAAATGTAAGGTTTCTCACCAGTGTGAATTATGGTGTGCTTGATGAGATCTGCCTTCTCTCTAAAACTTTTAGCACAGTCGGTGCAGCTGTGAGGTTTCTCTCCTGTGTGGATTCTTATGTGGGGGTTCATGTTTCCCACTTGTGTGAACCCTCGGCCACAGAAACGGCATGTGTGCGGCTTCTGTCCGGACTGAGAGTTCATGTGAGTCTGAAGGGAAGAGCGCTGGATGAAGCTTTTACCACACACACCGCAACTGTAAGGTTTCTCTCCTGTGTGTGTCTTCGTGTGGCGAGTCAGAATGGATTTAATACTAAAGGTCTTGTTGCAAACGCTGCAGGTGTACGGCCTCTCTGCTGTCTCGTGCTGAGGATCCTTCATGATGACACCTCCACCATCTCTCCACCATTCATTGTCACTAGTTTCACTCATGTTAACGTCACTGGCGGATAAACCACAGTCTTCTTTCTCAGCTTTTGATTTCTTGACCTGTTTACATGAGCTGCTGCCGGGCAAATTGTCTTCTTTATTATCCATTTCTTGGTTTTGGTGTGGGAACTGAATTCCATCTTCCTCATTGCTTTGCACATGAACTATATTGAACGCCGTTTCTTTTGCATCAGCTTCCTCTTGCTGCTTTTCACCTGCCGGAGCAGACCTCAGGTTCTCCTCCTGCTCCTCTTTGATCTCCAGGGGCTCCTGGTCATCCTGGTCAATCTTTCTCTCACAGAGATCCTGCTCAGAGGGAGCGTATTTTACCTGGACAGAGGGCTGCAGGGGGGCTGAAGGGGAACACACAGAAAATAAGTACATTATTGAATATTTCGGTTTTTTGTTTGTCAGAGAGTTACATGAACATGTTTTTCAGCAGCCTATAAGAATTTAGCTTTTTGATGTCCTTATTAAGTCTGAAAACATGGTAACAGCAACCATATTAGTGCAGCCTTTTCACAACATGTGCAATAATGCTTTACTTTAAAAAAAAACAAAAAAAAAACCCTACTCTACTACTTGACTGGATGGTGGACAGAAACATAATCACCAACTAATAAGATAATCAATTAATCATTTACAGCAAGTGATTTGTCCAAAAAATATGGCAGAAAATGCTTGGCTTTTTTTAGCCCTTCATCCAAGGAGATTTCCTGTTTCTTTGTATATATGTTAAACTGAATATGATAGGGTTTTGAACTATCAAAAGGCCACCTATTAGTTTTTACCTGTGTAAGAGTTTGAAGGCAGGAAGTACTTGCTTTATATCTTGTTATTGTTAATTTGTAAATTCAACATGTATATTTTCTACTTTCTTGTTTTTATTTATTTATTTTATTTGTATTGTACAGTGCCATGTCTTTTTATGCTGCTGCAACACAAACACTTCCCAAATTGGGATCAATAAAGTACTTCTTATCTTATCGATAAATAATTGCACCACCCAACAGCAATCATACAGAAAGAGAAGGAAGGAGGAAAAGTTGCTGATACATATTTATTTTGTAATAGTATAAAGAATAATACATGATAATTAAATGAAAATGAAATAGACCCACGTTTTGTTTCAAGGTACCAACAACAAACACACACTATGTTGCCAGTAACAGCCATTTTGCATCCCCCTCCCCCTCAGGGATGCAAAATGGCGCTATTTACTGTGTGACCAATATTTAGGGTGTGGCCCATAAGACTGCAGGCTCTGTTACATGTGCACAATGGTAACTCTGATTTAAACAGGAGTAAGGTCCCTACATTTTAAAGCTGTCTAAAGGTCAAAGTTCACCTGAGTGTCACTCACCTTTACATCCGGCCAGGCTTCTTCTTTGTTGCTCGATCTCCTGTTTTGAACGCCAAACATTCTCCTCGTAGTCTTTAATAGTTGTTTCAAAGATGCTGAATATTTCCTCAGCTGCAGCTTTAAGTCTCTCATTGACCAAAGCTTTTAATTTCTCTGTTTTAAACATTTCTGCGGTTACAGAAAACCTCCTGACGGGCTGCGGGCTGGGTTGCCAGGTGTGGCGATAAACCAGCAATCTCATTCCTAAATCAAAGTTGTGTCCGTCAAGACACTCATCCTCTTTAAAATAATATGGGTTTAAAGATCTCAAAACATTGTCTTATATTTTTAAATAAATCTTGTTAAAATAATTCAGCTAGGGAGAATCAGATTTGACATTGAATATTAGGTCTCCACTTAATAGCCTAAAATCTCTAGGGCAGGCCTATGGAAAGCAAATTGGACTACATGTTTTTATTTAATCGACTCTATATTATTAAATTATAAGCTACTATAAGGCGACATCTAATAATTCAATTCATGGATGTTTAACATGTCAAACCACTGAAAGATTGACATTGTGTATTTATATGTTAATTTGTATTGATTAGTGTGGGCGGCTTGATGAGCTTTTTGCAGAGCTAAATAGTAAAGCGGACATTGTGTTTCAATAGAAAAATTAGCTAAATATGGCATTAATACCAAGAAACCCCATTGAAAATAATAATAAAAACGGACATGGCAACACAGGTTGCAGACAGAAACTCAGGCACACAATGGACCCTCTGCAGGATGGAGCTGTGCTGCCCCCCACTGGCCATGAAACCTAACACTGAAACTCAATCAAAAGGGTTGATCATTTTCGACAAAGTATCTGATATAACATCTCAAAGTCTTTTCAACAGAGGTTTTAAACAGGTAAAATATGTTTTATGGATATTCACTTTGCAGTTTTTAATGTGAACATTTAAAAAACAGGAATTCTTTCAGGAAAATAAAACAACTTACCAGATTTGCAGTTGCAGTGGCTGACCAGGAGATGGAAGCAGATATTAAGGTTTTCACGACATAAGGTGAATAAAAATCACAAAACACAAAGTTTCAAATCAACTTTTGCAACACTTGCCTTTATGATATAAATGACTGCTGCACTTACATTTGACACGTTTAAAAGCCAATGCAGCCAAGTTAGTATTATGAATTATAATTGCATCTGTCAGAGCTGCACCCAGACAAATTAAGTAAACAAAAACGATATCATCCAAACAAATGCTCTTCTCAAACAGTATCCATATCTTACTCTAGGTTGTAACAATTAGCTTCATTATATATGCAGGTTTGAGGATTATATTTCAACCTAAAATATGTTAAGTTGTACTCATTTACATTTAAGAACGTTTTCTTACAAACATTCAATGTAATGTAAAACAGGTTTTTTTTCCTCCCTATTAGCTGTTTCCTTTGTGTCCTCCAGGCTTTTGAAAAATACCAGAGATACCATGGTATTATTCATGGTATTGTTAGCTTAGACGTGAGGATTAAAGTCCTCTGTTTCAGTGTGTCAGACAATAACATGGGGGCCCCAAAACATACACACGTGCAAGGGCGCGCACACACACACACACACACACACACACACACACCCCCCCCCCCCCCCCACACACACACACACACACACACACACACACACACACACACACACACACACACACACACACACACACACACACACACACACACACACACACACACACACACACACACACACACACACACACACACACACACACACACACACAGCCATCATGTAAACTTGACATGCCAACGTGCCAGATGCTTCCACCAGCACAGAGCTCACACCTCCAACTATCTCTTAAAGTCCAGCTGAATATTAATATATTTAAATGCTTTTCCCCCACAGAAATAAAGGGTTTTAGCATCTGGTTACATCCTCAGCTGTTAGCCTATACATTAAAATATGAAATGTAATGTAGTCAAATAGAAAACAAGTGAAAAGAGTGTATAGATGATATGCTCACAACTGGGACTCTTGTGAATATGGTGCACATCCTGACAGTGTGTCCTGCGTGTTTACACTTCACTGTTAACGACTATAACGTAAACACCTGCAAAACCAAAAATAAAGAATATCAGTGTCACTTTAGTTGTTAAACAGATATTTATCATATTTAGTACCTTACGTTGTCTGTATGGTGTTGAAATCCTTTAAAAAAAAAAAAAAAGTCAGCTTTGTATTACAAAGACATTGAAAAGTGATGATAAAAAAACAATCAAGCTATACTTTGATTCTAACATGCAGCTTGCATAATTTACAATAATAATAAAGAGTTTCACTTTAGGTGACCTCTGGCGTACGTTTAAAATCAGTTGATATGAATCAGCTGCAGAGCTGTCATTCCTTCACTGCTACTGAAACTCTGTTATCTCGGGGAAGCAGCAGGAATGGTCTCTGCTGCTGGCTGTGAGGATGATAGACAGTCAACTATTGTGACTTCCTGCATATTTACTGCATGGACTCAAAAATGTTATTCACTCATTTCCATTCTTTGGTGCATAATGTTTTTATTACAGGCCCCTAGTGTTTCCCTTCTCCCAAGCACCTCTAACAAAGGTCAAATCCAAACTGAAAGATAGCAAAAGAGAAAAGGACAGAGAGAGTTTTTGTGTAGACTCATTAGCGTCATTAACAAAGCACCCTGAATGCCTGACTAGTTTCACATTTGATCCTTTTCTAAGTGATGAAGCTATTTAACACGCACGTCATGTGTAGCTCATTCAGCACTCGAAGATGTATCAGAGACTTGATTGATCAAAGACACATCTCACAAAACCACAGGGCAAAACATTGAACTTTACATATTCGGCTTAAAGCATCTGAACTTTTTACTGAAATTATATAAAGTGAAGATGATTTAAGTACGTTTAAAGTAGACGCTGTTCTTCTTGTTTTGACGTTAAGAATCAAAGTGAAAAAGGTGAAAAAGATTATTGAAGTTGAAGTAATTTAAGTTCAGTTCAAACCCCTGAAAACTGAGCGTAAAGCTTTATTTTGTTGACCATGGAAAGAATAGTTTTGCAAAAAAGATATACGGTAGTCTTAGCTTCTATGAACTGAAGATGTTTTATGTCCAAGCCAACAGTACAGAGGTTCATCAGACAACATGTATTAAGCAAGAGTGCTCGCTTTGATATTGGCAATCATTATATTTAACAAGGAGGTCTTGTCGCCCGTCAGAGCCTTGTATTCCTGATTGCCTCTGATTTCATTTTTCTGTACATCTAGTTGTGAAAATGCAATTTAAACTTCTTGAAGCATCCTTCAGTGCATGTCTGCCTTTTAATCAGGAAAGTAGCGTCTTGCCTTTGTAGCATCAATCAAGAAATTGAGAGCAGTGCAGATGAAAAGAAATATTCAAAAAAGTGTAAAGGAGAGACGGACACTGTGTGAGGCCGTGCTTTCAGCTGATTACATTAGGATTCTCCTGTTCAGTTGGGGCTGTTCTGTGGTTTCCGTTCTGTCTCTACAGGCTGTTTAATGACACAAACTCTGAAATCCACAAAAATAAAGATAAAAAGGATGAGCCCAGAATGCAGAAGCAGATCATTCTTTCCATGTGAGTATACTATATGTCTGAGTGTGAAAGCATTGTTGTTGACATTGTGACCTGAGGAAATCTGACCATCCCAGGTCTGCTCTCTGGATAGAGCCAAAGGAACAAAATGGCATCACGTAAATGTCACCCAGGAAGCTTCAATACTTTTTGAGAAAGGCTTAAAATGTCAGAGCAGTTCATGGTTAATCCCTCCATCGACACATTCTGGAAATGACTTGTGTTACCTTTCCCTTTTCTTTCTTCAGGAATCAATTCTGTTCTTTCCTCAATTTCCACCTTTTTATATTCTCCACCTCTAATTTCTTTTTGCAAATGTCTCCTTGTTGTCTAAATATACAGTCAGATGATTCGTTTTTTTGTGACAGAAAGATCACCATATGGATTTCAAAGTATAGTCGCCATGATCATAATATTCCTTATTGTGCTCTCCATTCTAAAAAGCAAAAGTAGAAATAATCCAAAACGGAAAATATCACATAATTCAGCTTCCAAATGGTTTCATTTGATGGAAAAACATGACCATCGAAACCCAATTAAATCCAAGCATTTCATTGGTTTAAGACAATCTCATAGTCCAATACACATGTTATAATTTTGCATAGAGTAGTTCCAAGAAATCCCATGAATACGATACAAAACTATATATATATATATATATATATATATATATATACTGAAGCCATTCTAATTAACATTCAATTGGTTTAATACTGTGTTTTTAAATAGTATGTAAAATAAGTTAACCATATCTCAGTGTTGAGAAATATAATAACAAGAATGTGATGTGACCTTTTTCATGTGTGTTTTTCCTACCATGCATGTCAAAAATGTTCTATGCTGTATAAGAAGGTGTGTGTAAAATGTCCAATATACAAAGTGAATGAGGAAAGGGTATGACCTTCTGATTATAATGAACATCTGAAAGATCCTAATAGATGCAGATTTAAGTTTAGTCACCCAGAAAGCGAATGAAGAAAATCAAAACGGAGCAGCGCCAGGGGGGCGTCCTGCACAGCAACACCTACAAAGGTACAGTGTGTGTGTGTGTGTGTGTGTGTGTGTGTGTGTGTGTGTGTGTGTGTGTGTGTGTGTGTGTGTGTGTGTGTGTGTGTGTGTGTGTGTGTGTGTGTGTGTGTGTGTGTGTGTAACGGTATCCGTCACGGTTCGGCACACGCAGTCACACGACGAATACGCCTTTTTTTTATGAGTGGGAAAAAAGTCTGTCATTCAGGGCAGTATCCACTACACTATATATAATCCAGGGGGCGGTATTGCGCCTAAAAGCTGTTTGCCAGCCGCCCTTAAACAACACATGAAGAACAAGAAGAAACAACAACAACAAAACGAACAAAATACAAGAAGAAGAAAAGTTAGTTTGGTGATTTCAGATAACACACAGGAGCTAGAACCCACCTGCTTCTTTTAAATCAGCTGTGTGGGAACATGTCGGGTTCCCTGTGGACTACAATAACGATGGAGTGTGCGAGTGGTGGATCGGGCGAGGACGGTGTGTCGGCGTTGTTCTACAGCGGTGCGGTATGCTAATGAGAACACACGCCAAACATGCTAAATCATATCAGAAGGCATCACCAGATTGTGTGTAAAATGTCCAATATACAAAGTGAATGAGGAAAGGGTATGACCTTCTGATTATAA